AAAAAACGGGGAACCCGCCAAAAGCAGCGATTAAATATCCTTTGTATTGGTAGATACTTCTAAATGCACGGAAATGACGTACGACAAAATGTCGAATGGTTTAAACCTAAGATTGCAGTTATCAAAGACTAACACCAAAAAAATTGAACTCATACAAGCTATTGGTAAATCGCTGTACAAAATCACTTTCAAAACAAGTAAAGCAGCAAGCGACTTTACGACAAACGACGACTTGGTAAAAAAAAGGGTTACGTGCTTTTATCCCAAACACGGCGCTAGAAACATATGAAATAATAACCCACAAACTACTCGACAGAGGACATAAAAAATAACACTAACTCAAACATAGACATTAACGGCATACAGATTTACACGAAAAGAAACGGGCAAGGACGGAAAATCGGCATGCAAGTCAAAACCAAGATGTCGTAGCTGCGAACAGAGCGAGTGCAAGGCAAACTGCTCAAAGAAATGCTGCATACTGTGTCAAAGTGATGACCATACTTACACAGGCCAAGACAAATGTCCAGTTTGGGAAAAAGTAAACATGCTCAACCATATAAAAGCAGTAAAACACATAAGTAGACGAGAAGCTTTAAAAACATACTATCCCAATAACTATAATAGATTTGACGCAACAGAATTCCCTCCACTAACACAACTAGAAGACAATATTCAAAACAAGGACCGAAATATTAACAGAAACTTCCCGAAAATAAAATACAGCAAAATTTCAGAAAAAGTTATGTACCACAATCCAAGTACTTCAAAACAAAACGTTACCAAACGATCAACGCACACACCCCGCCCTCCACCGGCTTTTTCAAAGATGGAATATAACGAAAACAAAGTTTCTGAACTAGAGAAAATAATATCTGAACTGTTCAAAATGACACAACAGCTATGCATTGAGCACAAACTAACTACAGAATTGAAATATTTTCACGCACTAAAACAACTATTTGACCAACAAAATTATAGAACAAGAAGTTGACAGCATCAACAATAACATTAACATTGAAAAAGAAGATTCTTCAATATAATTGCCAGTCGTTAAAAGCTAATATAAACACAATGGAATATTATCTGAACAACAACAACTTTGACGTTACCAGTTTAAACGAAATCTTTTCACATAAAGGCAGAAAAAATGGAAAAATAATAAATTTCAACACAGTAGAAAAATCAAGAGAAGACGGATATGCCATAGCGCTAAAAAAAAGAAATAAAATTTTCTGCAGTAAATTATAGGACACAGCAAGATATTTTAATAATCCAGACCAAAAATCTACAACCAAATCTTACAATATATACAGCATATTTCCCACCAAATATACAAATAAGTCCTTTTACCGAAGAAATAACTAAACTTATAAATTTTGTTGAAAATTATCAAAATGTTCTTCTAATTGGCGACTTTAACGCCAGAGCAACAGCATGGGGGGATACCTTGCATTATATTGCAAAGCACACAGTTCTCACTCTTAAATATTGGATCCATAACTTACAAAAAAAATATTAGACAGCCCACGGGCTCCATTTTAGATCTATCATCCTCAAATGCAGCATCCAATACCTATGGAAAATGGACCCTATTAGAATTGGAGGAAGCCATCATTTCCCAAACGTAATCGAAAACCAAATCATAAAAATTACAACACTCAAGTTTATAGCACAAAATAAACTCCTCAAAGCACTAAAAGAGACAGACCTGGGTACCGAAATTGAACATTTAGAAAACACATTCAAAACAAAAATAACAAACAATAAACGACAAGAGAAAACCCAAATACTGGTATAATGACAACTTGTCAAAGACATTCAGATTTTCCAAAATTTCACAATATAAATGCAACGCCTTTCCTTCAATGGAAAATCTGGACTCATTTGCTAAGGAAAGAAAAAAACTGGAAAAAATGGTCAAAAAGGCCAAAAAAGATAGCTTGAGGAAAAAATAAAACAAATAAACACAAACCCTACCACCAAAACTGCCTGGACTTTCGTTAAGGGTCTGAGAGGAGACTACCGCAGCAAAAGCCAATAACAATCAACAATCAACAAATACATAACCCCAAGAACGGGCTGATGGGTTCACCAATACACTCACACGATTTCGGGCAGAACCAACACATATGCACATGTTTTTGTTTACCTTTCTCTCCTGAGTATATACAAATTGAAGAAGAATGCAGATGAATGGATTATCCGATTTTCTTTGTTCTTATTTTCGAGTAGAACGTCATTTGTTACCGTTTTCTCCGCAGCAGATAGAAGTGAAAAATATACGTTCTCATCATATGTATACTCCTGCAGTCCTCTAAAGGTTGTGTTAATAATATATTGTCGATTAATTAACTACTTCATATTTCATAACTCTACACATTGTTTTTATTTAAGGGTACTCCATGTTGTACAAAAAATTCTGTTAATGAAGCAGGTTAAGTAGAATGGACGGTTCTCATCTTGCAATAGCAGCACACCTCAAAAATATTCAACAAAACTTTACGAGGTACAACTGCATTAAAATATTAATAAAATTTTGATTCGAAAAGACTTCTTACAATATTTTGCTTATTTTTGAAAACAAATTTATTGTTGTATTGTTATTTCTTTTGTGTGCTATGTAAACCATGTACATGATTTATGTTAAATATTGAAATAAAGACTGAATATTAATAATGATTGTATGTATGTATATATGCAGGAAAAATTTTGTCAAAGCTGATTTCCTTCGGCGTCAATGGTGTCGCTCAACTGTGTTCGTCTTGTACGGCACTGCTGCTGTTTTTCTATGTCCATATTGTTTTCTTTTGGTATCAATACTGTCGCTCAGCTGTGTTCGGTTTGTTCGACAAGAATGACAAAAATGCACAAGGAAACGAATAGGGAAGCCTTTTTACAGGGGTAATCTACCTATAACATATGAAGAACTAACTACAAAAATCAAAACAGGAAGACACGATTCAAGAACGTATAAAATGCTTAGGGCCATATCATATAAAACTTTAAACAATATACGCATAGCAATAAATAACATTTTTCTAACAAACCAAATCCCAGAAAACTGTCGTATAGTAAAAATAGTACCCATACCAAAAAAAGACCTAAGACCAGAAAACTACCAAAACTACAGATCAATAGCTTTAATATTAGCTGTACTGAAATGTGTAAATCTGGCAATATAAAAAAGACTAGACGAACACTTAGAATCGCAAGATATACTCCCCTAAGCATCTTACAGAAAAGACAAATCAGCCTCAATGGCTGTTAACTTCTTAGTGCATGAAACTGTTGTGCTGAAAGACGATTACTTAGACATAAGTAACGAGATAACAACACACATAGGTTGGACACCAAGCCATATAGGTATAAAAGGAAACGAACTAGTAGACACAATAGCTAAAAATGTCACAGAAATCACTCAGATACTAGACATAAAATTGACCACAAACGAAGCCCTCAGAATAATTAAAACCAAAATACGCAACGAATGGTACAATAACAAATAAACTGAATTTTGACTGGCCATACATATGACAAGGAATATCTCTTTAAAATAAAAGCTATCCACTCCCACAGATGTAGCTGTGGGCAATTGAGCAACTATTAACATTTAACGTTCAAATGTGAAAAGTTCAAGTTAGAAGTTCTACAAAATATGAACAACAACAAAATCTCACAACTTGTTCAATTTATGGAAGAAGCACACTTTACATTAAAAAAAAAATTTATCTTTTAAAAAAATAACTTATATAAAATAAACCTTATTAATATACCCTCCACCTAACCTCTCACTTTCCGAGGCATGAAAGGCACACACACATGCCCACTTTCAAATCATGCTTGACACCGCGTAAGATATGTCAAAACAAACTGTGAAACAAACAAATCGCGGAGACAATATCCCAACAAACCTGGAATGAAACTAAAAGTAGACACACTACTTTCCACAAAAACCGCAAAAACAATACCGAATTAAGAGAATTACCAGGAAAAAAATTCAGATACCTCCAGTAGACAATAGTCTACGATCGAAAATAAAACAAAAAACAAAACGAAGCAGAATTAAAAATATCCAGTAGACATCGTTCTACACTCGTGAATCCAAACCAACCAAGAATAAAAACCTGGCTTATGTGAGCAAATCGCTCCGCCAAAAAACCCAAAAAAACAAACCAACAAAAAAGGTTGAAATAAAGTAAAGTCAATCAGGAAATCGCCTAAATTATATAAAAATTAATATAAAATAATAATCAAAAATGGGTTTTGAGTATTTGGTATACGTTTTGTCCGAAGATAAGGAGGTATTGTACCCTTCCTTCATCAGAGAGTTTGCTTCTGAAAGTTGCAGATCGTTTCCACTTGATTGTAACTGAGTTTCTTGCTAGCCAAATATCTTTTAAATATTTTTTTCAGATATAACACGGAGAGCAATGGGATATGAACCCGGCCTTACGAATGTCAGTAGGCAACGCTAACCATTCGACTACCGCGGCTGCCAATTATCTGAAATATATAGAATAGTAGTAATTGGATACATATACGCATTATATATTGNTAAAAACTCAAAATTCAATTTTCAAACCTTCGGCATCTATTCGTTTGAAATTTCAGAGAGCTACAATCCGGCCAAAGAAACAAAATAAAAGGGAAAAATCTGCAGATGCGAATAGAAACACAAAGCGTGTCGAGCGCGGACAGCGACACGGTGCGCCGTCGTCGTCACTCCGTACCCTACAAACGAGTGTTTCGCAGACAAAAAATATTCACGTGTAAGCTCAGACATCATCGTTACTGCAAACGTTAAAATCGTGTAGAAAAAGTTACAGAATTGCACGAAAACTGTTTGTTCAGAAGATTTTTTGTCTTTAGCTCATTTACTCAATTTGCTTTGTAAAAAATTTAAAAGGGAAAGGTGGTCTGCCTGACAGATCGTAAGAAGAATGCTCAGAGCGAGCTAAATGAATGAAAACACAATATTTCTGGGAATCTACGCTAGTTGATGAATAATACATGTCCGTTGGAACCAGAAAAACGGTGCTGCCACATCTTTGAAGAGTAAGTATATTACTATAATATCTCGCTCCAACTTAATAATGTGTTACACTTAAGAATACTGTGCAAGGCGAAGCCGGTGTTTATCCGGTCCAGACTATTTTTTTAAATGTGACCGAAGATCGCCAAATTACAAAGGTGTTGAAATTAAAAAGCATCGCAATGTGAATAGTTTTTTCCATTCCTTTGTAATATACTTCATTTTACTTACTAAAGTAACAATGCAAACATGTGCATACTTATTGCTTACGCGAGGAGCGTAAATCCTTGCATAACTTTGGGCACTGGCTAATTGCTTCCTGTTATATGCAAGTATTCAATTCTCAAATTATCAGCGAAGCGGTACGGCTAAAGTGTTCATTGTTTGCAATGGAGTTGACCTTCGTAAGGTCCAGATCAGATACCTGATTATCCAATCTGTTCTGCGTCTTCCCATCCCTGCTCAATTTAGTTGAGTGGTATGCGATTGGCGTCTGTGCAGCGTCAGGTACCTGCTATGGCATTGGGTAAAGACCACGTATTTTTGAAACGAGCCTAGTGCTCAACTTGAATACATTTCACGTTCTCCCCCACCCGCTTAGATACTTATACCTCATATACCTAATTCATAAAAAAAGATTTGTTTAAAATTTAAATATAATAGGCTCCATACTAAAGCTAAGCCCTGATTTCGAATTGATTTCGGCAGAATACACTCACTAATATAACACATTTTAGAAAAAAAAAGTTTACTATCCTCCCTCACAATTTTATTTGTCCTTGCTTCCAGTGCCTTAGCAAGACCTCTCCAGTTTCTTTGGGAACCAAATAAACCATGCATTATAAAAAGCGGCAAACGTCTCTCGCTATTTTCACCATAAAATGTATATGGTATCTTTACTGGACCTACATCACTAAAGGAGCGAAATTTCGTCGTTGCATAACAATTTATACATTTCAAATTTTTTGTTATTAATGCCACAAATATTTTGCTACCTTTCCTGTTAATATAACACATTTTAGAAATTAAAATTATACCATCGTTCCTCACCATTTTATCTGTCCTTGCTTCCAGTGCCTTAGCAAGAGCTCTCCAGTTTCTTTGGGAACCAAGTAGACCATGCATTATAAAAAGTGGTAAATTTCTCGTGTTATTTTCACCATAAACTGTATACGACATCTTCACTGGACCTACATCACTAAAGGAACGAAATTTCGTCGTTGCATAACAGTTTATGCATTTCAAATTTCTTGATATTAGCGCCGCAAACATTTTGTTAGCTTCCTATTATCTAAAACACGGATGGAGTTGTCAACCTTACCTCAACTTGAGATGGGCAGAAACTTTCGATATCTATTACAACCGATCTACGTATTATATTTTCATATACATCACAAGCGTATCCGCAGCCCATGGTTGATTACAGCCTGAAGCACTAATTTGTACAACCCTTATCGATGCAGCTCCAATGCTTTTATAACTATTTTTAATTACAAAACAGAGCGGCAGTCGTCGACTAGCCCTCACATTTTTTTACTAGTTGAGTTTGTTCTTTATGAAAAACAACTTCAACTCAATTAGTTACGCATTTAGTTACACGTGGTTTCTATAAATTTTGCGTAGTGAGACAAGTGTAGTGTAAAAATCCCTTCGTCGCTTTCACCTTTGGGCACAATCGGCACACAAAATAAACATTCTTCATCCCAACTTACAGATTTCCCAAGTCTGACCAATCCCTCAACACCATTACCTAACCCGAAATATCTAATCATATCAGCAACATGTGATAAAAAGCCTCTGTCACATTATTAATGTTTCGCTATGCACAGATTCCTTCATGTAATAAACAGTGATATTAAAATGAAATCTGAGTTAAAAGATGGTAGTTTACTATTCTTAGCAAAAGATAAGAAAACTGCAGTCCAATTCGCAAACTGCAAATTTCACGAAAATTTAAATTCTGTGAAAGAAACGGTTTTTGCTCTTTACTTAAATCAATTATCAGATGAAGAAATATCTAAATAGTTTGCTTCTCAAGGTGTCACTAAGCCGTACAAATTCATTGCAAAAACTAAGAACGAAATGGTTCCAAGCGGAGTAGTTTTACTCACTTTCGGCCTCTATCTGCTGCCTGAGACCATCAAAATTTCTTGGCACCAAGAACAATTAAGAGAGTACTTCCCCAACCTAATACGATGCTAAAAATGCCGACGCACAATCAAGCACTGTAATGCTGACAAGCCTCTAACTTCAACAAATTTTCTAGATCTCTTCAACAAAAGGAAATATTAAAAATTAAAACGCAACGAAAATGCGTCATCAAGCAAGCTAGAGAAATTTATTCTTCACAACTACTAAACAATCTTCACCCTCTCTTTAGCTGGTATTACTGCTAGAGACAAAGTTCTATCCTCATTTAAAAACACCGTCTCGCCTCCTTCACAAAAAAATGTCTCAAAAAACAACAACATCGAACCAACTTTAAAAAATTGCAACTCTTTACTTCCCCCTTCCATTCAATCTTCCGACAACACTCTCACAGCAGCGACAGCATCAATTGCAATCGGCTCACTGCCCCTGGATTACACTGTCTATTCGGACCCTTCTCCCAACGTTTCGCCTATCTCAAATCTGACTCAACAGCTCATCCAAAAAACAATTACTTTGCTACCCCTCCATCAAATTATTTCGATCAGTCTTTAGACAAACCAACAAGTAATTCTTCGAATCTTCGGAATAATTAATTTATAATAACAATATTATATGCGATTTGTAAATATGAGATGCTATCTCTATTACAATGGAATATAACAATTACATTCATCTTGAAATTCTAACACAAAATTTTTAAATTTCTCTCAGAGAGTCCTCTATGGGACTTTCCCAATAGGAAGTTAAAACGCCGAAGCGTTGAATACGCCATCCTGATCTCAAATTGTATCATCTTAAACGAGGGTTCTCCCATTTTCACTTTTCCATTCATTCACTTTCACCCACATAGACCTCACTTTCCCTTCGAGCTCCCTAGCGACCACTTCCCTATCCTCCCTAGAATTTTCTCCCCTATCCACGTCTCCCACTTCAAAGCCAGAGCTCGTTTCAAAACCAATCAAGCCGGCTGGAACCGATTCAATGAAATTTGTGTAGCCCAATTTTCTTACACTTCCCAATATCACCTCCGGCGCTTTTATCTTTTGGGACCATCGGTTCGCCCCACTGGCAAACAGTAGGGGAGTTCTCTATCGTATTATAATGGTTTTCGAATCGCAAAGAACAGTTAGCGATAGTTCTAACGATTTTATTATTCCGTGTACTTCTTTTAACGATATTCGCTCTCGCTTCTGTCGTAAACTACTCGACAAATCGCTAACTAAGCGACGAATATTTTTAAGTTATTAGCGATATTGACAAAATATTCTTATTTCATTTAAGGGACCAAAGTGCTCGGAAAATTGCCTAAGTTATGCAAAAATAAAAATAAAAAATAAAATAAATGGCTTTTGAATATTTAGTATACGATTTATCACAAGATGAAGAGATATCCTACCCTTCATTATTGAATAGAAGTTTGCGTCGAGAAGCGGAAGATCTTTTTCATTTGGATGCTACCGAGTTTCGGAAGCTGTATAGATTAACGCCGGATTCAGTGGAAGAAATCGTTTCTCAACTAGATTGTCAACTAAAGGGAAAAGAGTAACAGCATTGTCTACGGAGACACAGGTAATAATATATTCTTTCAATATTGTTTTAGTCTTAACACTATTAAACCGCCTTGCCATCTTTCGCAACTTGATAGAGTCCCGTCAGAGAGCAATGGGGGATATCCATGAATCAGTCGCCTGTAAGCCGTGTTTGCAATGTTTTCTGCGAAGGTTAAATATCCAATGACGCAAATAGAGCGGCAAGCTACAATAGAAATTTTGCTTCACCATCATCACCATTTGTTGAAGGCACTATTGGAGCTATCGATTGCACTCATGTGTCAATCATGAGTCCCAAAAATCATTAAGAAGCGTATGTAAACCAATGTAAGCCGCCATGGATACCATTGCAGCAATGTGCAAATGGTGAGAGTAAATTTGTTTCCATTACTATTGTAGCAACAAAGTTATTATAATTTCACAGAGATATGTGATCCTTACCTCAAGATTTTGGCGGTCAATACTAAGTACTCGGGAGCGCGGCACGATTCTTTTATTTGGAGCTCTTCTACAGTGCGAAGAGTAATGCAGCGTAGTTTTGAAAGTGGAAACCACAATATGTTTTTGATTGGTAAACTTTGAAAATCATTAAAACTCATTTATTAAAAATAATTATGAAAAAAATAAAATTTTTAGGTGACACTGGATATCCATTAGAACCGTTAATGACTCCTGTTCCAAACCACAAGGAAGTCCTAAATTCCGCTGTAATGAGGCATTGTGTAAAGCACGAAACCAAATCGGGCGACTTTTTGGCGTTCTCAAAGGAACTTGGCGATTCATTTCTCAACGAAGAACTCTCTCTTACTAAGCTGAATTCACTAATATAATAGTTTATGCTTGCTCAGTGTTACATAACAATCGATTAGGTGATCAAATATATGAGCTTGAGCAAGAGTTCGTAGAAAGTAGAACAAATACCGTCAATTTCAATCATGAGGCACCATCCTCAACAGCAAAACGCGTCCAAGATCACCTGATCGCGAATTATTTCACTTAAATATTAATTTGATAAATAAAAACTCCGGAATCTTATTTACATAATTTGTAATTTTATTGCATTTATTATTATTTTAAACATCTGTACATATGTATGTTAAGATAGCTCGGCAATATTTTACATCATAATTAAAATGAATAATTCATTACAAATCTCAGTATATAATCACAGATAAGTCTTTTTGTATGGGTTTAAATACCGCATATCATCACATTGAAGTTTCTTAAAGGAGAATCTCAAAACTGATACTTATGTTCATAACTGCATTACTTCTTTAATATATGTAATGAGGAATTAGTCATAGTATATCTAATATGTAGTCAGATATAAACTCAAGTATAAAAAAATACTTTCCAAAAAACTAATTTTTTCGAATTAATACTTAAATGAAAATATAAATAAAAAAGAATTTCTTGTTCTATGTTTAACTTAACACTAATCTAAGGAAAAAATAACTTTAAACTCCATAATATATTTACATCCGTCTAATTGCGCCGTTGTTGAAGGCAGCTGCACAAGCTTGTAATCCTTCACCCATTGTGGTCATAGCATCCGCCAATGCCTGCGTAGCCGACGCAATGCTTTCATCTAACAACTATTAAAAAAAATTATCCTACAGCATTTAAAAAAAATTACCTGCAAGGCTTCAGCTTGCCTGCTTGCAATTCGGGTGGAAGCTGCACGCGACTTTTTTAACATCTTTTGGAAAAAGAACGAAACGAAAAGATAATGAAAACATATTCTAAATATTTTGCAATTCCAGAAATACTTACTCTTAAAATATTCGCTTGTGCTTGCGCAATTTCTAAAAATGCGTTTCGCGCATCGCTCACGTCTTTCACACTTTTCTTACTTCTTCTACGTGGAGTTTTGTGGCTTCTTCACCCTCCTCTAATCGCAGTTGCAGTTTCTAATATTGGGGAGAATTTTCGTCTCTTATATTTATACCAAACTGTTAATTTTTCTTTACCTCTTCTATAGGCACAGTTTCAGAAACGTTTCGTGGCCCTGGACATAGTCATTACCTACAAGGGCAATGACTCGTCTCTCCAATTCAGTGAGTGGCTCCTCATGAATGGGATTGTTTCCTGTGATTGACCGCTTTCTTTTCCCGTCTCGGAACTTGATGCCTGGACGGCTTTTCAGATCCCTCCATACCTATTCGTAAAATATAATTTTAACACACTGCCAAATTGATTAAAAATATTAACATACCGGGCGCCATTGTTCGACGCTTTTCAAAGCACCACTAAGGCAATTCAGCGTACTAGTACTAATTCGCTCCTCTTACTGTCGCAATCTGATTTTCCATGGAGCTTTTGGAACCGATACCAAGTCAAACCCGGCGTTTTTCCGAAAAAATCCATCATCCGAATTACAATAGCTGCTCCATTGTAGCTCGGTTTCTTTTTGTCGTATCCATTTTAAAATTATACATACAATAAGGCATGTCTAATAATACAAAAACTAACAAACATTTCATTTTACTTACACTTTTCAAAAACATTATATATTCAAAAGCCAGCTTAAAACTATTGACATACTAATTTGGAATAACGATGTTTCTTTAGCGCAGGCGACAAAATTCAACTTTGCGATCCGACGAATCGTGTCGATAAAAGTTACAGAATTGTTGCAGTAGTGAAGTTCAAAAAGCGAAATAAGGTAACTTAACAATATATGCATATATGTAATATGTATATACATACATATGTACGAGTAAATACTTATGTACATATGCCCGAATGTAATTGCAGTTTCATTTTTTGTTTATAATAAGAAGAATAATGCAGTTGTTTACATCACATCACCGAGTCTTGACTGGCCTTGATCATTTCAATAAATTATGCTTTTTTTTGTGAAAATTTTACACTTTTGTTATTTATGTATATGGCGGCCACGGTAGTCGAGTGGTTAGCGTTGCGTACTGACATTCGGAAGGCTCGGGTTAATATCCCGGTGCCACCAACATCCATAAGTTATGAAAAATAATTTTAAATAAAAAAATTAAGTTAAATTTGCTAATTGCGCTCGACCCTCGGCATGGAATGTCCACCCCTCCGAGTGTATTTCGAACATGAACTAAAGGCTCCTCGTAAAGAAAGCATCAGCCGTTCGGAGGCGGCTCAGTATAAACTGTAGGTCCCTCCATTTGTTGGAAAAATATCAAGATGCAAAATAAATTGGAGGAGGAGCTCTGCGGAAAATCGCTTCAGCGGTTACAAAGCTCGAATTACAATATATACATATATATAGCGATGTTCTTTGTAAAGCTTTTATTACGACTAATTGATTAACTTTAATTAACCAATATGAATTTTAAATCTTTTGCTTCATAGCGGCATAGCGACAGATACACACATTTCGTTTATGCTTTAAGAATTTCATATTTTATGTTTATTTTATGTAATTAAAACCAAAAACAAACTTCACTATTGAGTTTTACCTCACAGCGAAAATAATGCAGTAACAAAAAAAATTTCTACATTTAATTTTTTTAAAGAACAAAACTAAAATTGTAGTTAATTAATATTTAGTAAGATACCCCTTGCCAAAGAACGTATATTATCTAATAAGGGTAAAGAACTGTGAACCAATTTGAGGTGAATAGTGAGGTGCCACAGCCAGATTACACCTTCCTTCAAATTTTTCGCGGTTTTCGTAGTACAGGGGGGCAATTATGACGGCGAAACGAAATTTCGTACCAAATTGAATTGCAAGAAATCGTTTAAAAGTGCGTGCAAAACGATAGGGAATATACACATGCATAAAAATATAAAAGCAAACATACATATGTATGTATATTCACTGGACAGAATGAAAATACTGAAAAATCCGTCTTTTTTCCTTTGTGTCCCCGAGCACGCCTCCACTTCCCTCTTTGGTCATGGTTTATGATTCGTACTTCATCCCTAAAATCTAGAACTTTTGCATTTTGCCCCGGACAACTTAAATTTACTTGCCTCCCAATACGAGCTATTGCAGCACGATGCCGACTTGCTTCAATTCGTCGGACAAAGTCTGATTTCTCGTCAAAGTCGCAAGAATTTGAGGCAATGCTAGTGTATGCCACATACAAATGTATGTATACTGTTGTGAACAGAGTAAATTGGGTTGGTTCTGTTTCCGATTTTAACATAATCGAATAAACTCTTTGTAAAAAACTTCTTGAAATGGTGAAATAAATTGATTTAGTAATGTATACACGATATTTCTAGTAAGAACTGAGATGTTTTAAACATCAGCCGAATATCCCGCTTCCACTCGAATTTAGTCTTCCTTCTATGATCGAATTTGTGACCGTCCAGAAGGAGCAATAACGAGAGGGCGCAATCTCGTTGCAATATTGAACCTCCTTCAAACAATTTCTGAAAAACTTTGGCAAAGGGATTCACCAAACCGCTATGGATTTTCTGCTGAAAACAGGGAATCGTATTCAATTATTTTTTCAATTTATCGCATACCTTTGCTTTGACAATTTCAAGTGTGCTAAATATGAATTTAATATAATAGAAAAACATAAAAATATTTAAAAAAATTTAAAACAAATGAATTTAAAAATATATAAAAATTATATTTATCAAAATCAATAAATATATAAAAAACATATTGTATTTAAAAAACTCGATATAAAGAAAGAACTTGCAAAATTATTAAAGTTTATTTAAAAAAAATTCTAGAGTTTTCACTATGTCGAATTGAACATAGTCATTCTTTTGAATATTATTTTTTTTGTCTTTTGTCAGCGATCTAAATAAATACCAATTATGCTAACGAAATTGCAAAGTGATCAATGGCGGAATGGTTTGCGTCGATTGATTTTTGTCCAAGCTGCGCGGGCCCAAATCCTTCTCTCGCTTATTTTTCGCATTTTATTTTTTAAATTTGTCAAATTGTAAATTGCTTGATGATTCGGGGTGGGAGGGAAAAGAAGTTGCCGTACTTTTGTGAATGTATGGGTCTTTCATGTAAATGCAGGTACCTTAGAATGTGTTTGTATTTTACTTCAGCTCAACTAGAATTTCTGATTTTTGCAAATTTTTTATGGTCGGAATGAAACTGCTTGTGGATGGCGGGTATAGGGGAAGGGAATAGGCAAGGTTTTGGGCTTGTGTGTGGTTTCCGTATACACATTGGTCGCTTTCAATGTATGTGTCTTCAACTTCAGACCAACTTGGATTCTGATTTTTGTAAATTTTGTCACCTTCGCGAAGAAAACGTTTGTGGATGGCGGGATGAAAGAGGGAAGAGCATGCGCACCATTAAAATTGTGTGCGTTTTTCGTATACATATTAAAATGCTTAAATGTATGTGTTTTCACTTTGGCGTGAGTTGAACATCAAATTCTGATTTTTAGCGAAATTTGACTTCGCTGGTGGAAACTGTTTGTTGATGAAGAGCAGAAGGGAAGAGGGTTTGCATGTGGTAATTGTTTTTGTTGCATTTATGCTTCTTGTACTTATAGCAAACAACTTTTAGAGAAGTGCGCAGATGAGTTGTTTTGTTGTTTTTGTTATTGTTAGTATGAACGGCATGTGTTTATGAAAGAATAAAAACATTTGAAGTTAGTTGCTTTTAAATGACCTAATGCATGGTTTATCGTTTACATAGAAATGCCCATATTTACATGCATACACACATATGTTTAATATAGTATATAAAATATTTATTTAATGTTAAAAGAAAAATATTTAAAACTATTTAATGTAAAATAGCTATTTATTGTTCAAATTTCATTTCATAGTATTTTCCAATTTATTTTATGACATGGTTTAACTGTTATATTTATTTATTAAATTTTATGGATTATTCAATCGAAACATACATATGTTTGTATGTACATATTATGTCTTCATTTGTAAACACACACCATTACCATGACAACATATTAGTTGAACAAAGCGTATGTATGTAATAAGCGAAAGCAATACCTCTTCCCGCGCGCAGCTCTTCAACAAGCCACAGCTCACAAAAATCATAAGCTGAAGAAATTTCTGTACCCACTACGCTCAAGCATACTCTCGATAAGGCGAACAAATGTATTGCAATTCGAAAATGAATGTTCCTAAATGCCCTCAAACCATAAGATTTCAATAAATATAATTTGAATTTAGATCTTAAAGAGTTTAGTAATGTCAAATCAATTCAAAATGTATTAAAATTAGGAAATGCTACACCTTTGAACAACATAAACTAATGAGCTTGTCTAATTGAAACCATGTACGACTTTTATATTTGTTTTGCTTAGGAGAGTTTTTGAAAAAGTCAATAGTACTCGGCCGTGGATACTTCACAACTGCCTTTATTAATTTTCTTTAATCATAATGAAACTTATTGCTAACATACATTAATGTTGATTCAGCTTAAATTGTATTTTACAAATTTTGTTTACATATGCAAAATATTAATATTGTTGCTTAATTCATTTATATTAAAACTAAACGGTTGCAATTCCTGGAATTGCGACCGACAAATAATCTTACTTCTGGTATTGAACGGAAGTGGGTTTACTGTTACAGTTTGATATATTTTATTTTACATTTATTCCATGCTTATTACCTTTTCGATAATTTCGTCAATCTTGTCATTTTTAATATATGTAAGTGTGTGTATTAGCATTTGTATATGTAACTCGCGCGCGCACTATGCAAATCAGGGAAGTCGATTGTTGAAGAAAGGCGCGCGGGGAGAACAATTCTTTCGTACATTTAACTGAATAAGAAGAAGAAAAACTAATGGTATATTTCTTTGATTCGGTATAAGTGCAGAATATAATAAGAAGTGGTGCTTTGGCACAGCTGGTAGCGGGCAAAAGCTACATGAATTTTTGATACTTTTGCCCCTTTCGAAGGAAACAAAAACATTTATTCAAAATAATTATGTTTTCTTATTTTTATTTTACTTATTTAATAATTTTTGTAAATTAATAAAAAATTCTTAATGCAATGCATTTAAAAACGAAATAATTTCATTCGTAAAACTTATTTTTGTGAGATGCTGGGCGTTGTTTTTAGCGCGTGCAAGCTAAAATAAATATTGAATATGAAAATGAAAAATATATAAAATAGGTGGTTAAAAGATTAAGAGAGATAAAATTTTTTAATTTTTTTCATTAAATAACAACAAAGTAAAATAAAAATTTTCGCTGTGTGGGTGAAGTGCTCCAAAAGTTACGAATGTGTTTGCTTATTTAATGAATTCAAGGGGAAAGGGGGTAGCATGATACAAAAACAAGGTGGTTTCACTCAAAATTTTCTCAAAAATAATAAATATCTGACATACAGAGATTTTTTGATCTTTGCTTTATTTTTGTGCTGACAAATTCAAAATTTTTAAAAATAAATTTTTCAACTTTCTATGTAAACAAAAAAATTAAGAAAAATAAAACATACTTAAAAAAAAACTAAAAGGCTTTGCATAGTATTTTCTGAAATCTAATGGAATAAGATTAGTTTCTGGCGGCTTAGCATTTTGTTGTAAAAAAATGTATCAAATATTTTTAAAGTGGCAATATCTTGAAGTCAAAAATCTTTTTCTGTAAATTTTATATTCCTTCGTTTTTTATATCAGGTAAAGTAAGTTTTGTTTCTTTTTTTTAACACCCGAAATTAAATTTGGTAATCTAGCGCACAGGTTACATTGTTTGAAAGAACTTTGGTGGCAAGGCTTTTTCCGACCATATCAAATTACATTTGCCAGTTGCTGAAGAAAAGAAGAATATTCACATCGAAATGAAAGATGGAGAGCAATAAAATAAGTGCGTTTTATATATTTGCTTATTAAATCATAAATAATTGAACCTAGTTATGGAAAAGAGTCCAAGGGACGGACTTATTAAAACAAATGTACGGTTCAATTTACTTGAAATTCAGTACAAAGGTGGCCTTTTGCTGAGATTGACATGAAGACTACACTTCTCTCCGAAAAGGGGACCAAGTTCTGATATATAAAATAATTTGAACATGTAGTTCGATTTACTTGAAATTTGATGCATACCAAGGTTAGCTCAGTTTGGTAGGAACATTCCTTTTATTTCCAGAAATAGTATCTAGGACAGATCTATATCGAAAAAATCGTTTCTTTGGTATGGATTAGTACATACAATTTTTCGCATTTGGACCAAGAGTCATCGAGCAGACGTTTCATTGACTTGGTCCATTCCATATATGGCATCATTCGTTGAGTTAAGCAGAAGCTTTGTTGGAAGGCAGGCCTGTTTATATACGGGATCCGTTTCCTTGCAGACCCTGGCAATTCCGTAGCGTACGCAGTGACAATTGTCATTTCAATGGATAATGCCGAATAGTTTTATTGTATCCAAGTGAGAAAAAAGATAATTAACAAAAAAATAAAATAAATTCAACTTTATTAAGAGAATATCGGGGACCGTTCATGCGAGATAATCTTAGTTACGATTCGATTAACTTGAAATTAAATTTATTGGTCGTTTTGATTAACATGCAGAAACTGGTTCTGAATAATTTTATTTATGCCTTAATTTGCTTGATTTTTTTTTTCGTTGTGTTGTTGTTGTTGCTGGTCGACGGTGTTGGACCAAAGGGAGAGGGGGGTTAGATGAATTGATTTGAGTGGGCATGTGAAGAGGCGGTTAGTGTAGTGCGGACACTCTCCGCATGCAGGGCATACGTTGAGTATGCTGGGGTCTGGTCTGGATAAGTAGGAGTTTAACCTGCTACAGTATACAGGGTCACGCGGGTCTCTCGAGGCAGCTCGAGCTCGTTGTCTGCTATAGGTGGTGATTTTTCTCCGAGCACGTCATTCACTTGAAGGGAGTCCTTGAAGGTGTTGACTGATGAATGACGTTCAGTGCCGTCCTTTTTGATGTGCCTAGGTGGAGGTTCAGTTTCTATTGGGTGCCTAAATCGGTGCAGCATAGTTTACGACCGGCCGGCCAATTGCTTTATATGTTGTCAGTAAAGTTTCTTTGGCTTTACCCTAGATGCTGCCGACTAGCGCGTTGAGTATTTTGTTGCAGCTCTGGAGTTTTGCGGCAATTGTGGTAGTATGCAGGCTGTCTAGAGTTACTCCCAATATCTTTGGGTTATTCACCGTCGAAATTTTTGTGTCATCGACCTTCACATCTAGTTCAAGCCTGTACTCCTTCGTCCAGCTGGTGAAGAGGGTAGCCGAGGAATTAGTCGGCCGGATTTTTAGATGTCTTGCAGAGAAGATGTGGGAGAGATCAGCCAGGTAGCCGTTCACTTTCGAAAAAAGGTCAACAATATCCTGGGCAGACGCCATTATCATGCAATCATCGGCATACGAGGTTGGGGAAACTCCTTCTGGTGGAGGAAGGGATTTCGAGATATAGAAATTAAACAGTAGCGGGGAAAGGATACCACCCTGCGTAACCCCCTGTTTAATTTTTCTGGGTTACGATGTTTCACTTCGGAATATTATCGATGATTGTGACCCACCTCTGCAACGCTGACGGTAATGAGGATTCCTCAATGTCCGTTAGTGGTACTGAGTGATTTACTGTGTCAACAGCTTTTGACAAATCCAGTACTATTAGGAAAGTTCGCGCGCAGGGTCGGTTTTGGTTGAGGCAATTGAATATCTGGGTGTTTATAATGTTTAGTGCTGTTGTGGTGCTGTACACTTTACGGAAGCCATGCTAATGTGCTGCTGGACGCAGATGGTGAGTGAAAGTCGGGAGCAGTAAGGCCTCAAGCGTCTTCGCTACTGGGGAGAGCAGAGTTATCGGCCGATAGAACTCTCCTTTGATTTCTGGTTTCCCCGGTGTGAGTAGCGGGACAACCCTGCCCATTTTCCATACGTCGAGTATCATTAGGCTGGTCAGAGACTAATTGAGGACCCTCGTGAGAAATTCTGCTCCCGCTGGTCCTAGGTGTTTGAGCATTAGCATGCTTATTCCGTCGGAATCGATGAATTTGGAGGCTTTCGCCTTCCCGATGGTCCCCTGAACCTCTTCCCTGGAGAAATCAAGTACCGCGCTGGTGTTTGGCGATTTGCGCATACGGCGGGTTACACGTCGCTTCGCTTTGTCTACCGAAGGCTTAGACAGCGCCTAGACTATAGCCCAGAGCTCGGTTGCAACAGAGGAGAGGTTGCAGGTGGAAAGAGCTCTAAAGGCGTTCTCAGTGAACTCCGTGAAGCCGGGCCAGTTAGCTTTTTTAAACTTAACAAATGTCCGGTGGTCCGCGGAAACAAAGTCAGGAGGCCTGTCAATCGAGATTTGTATGGGCAAGTGATCCGATGCTACCGTCAGTATAGGTCGCCAGACTATACTGTTTATCAGACCAGCACTCGCAATTGTTATCTCTGGCGAGCTTTGGCATTTACCCATAACTCTGGTGAGGGTATTGTGCAGAATGACGATACTATCTGTTCTGCCAGCTCCATTCCTCTACGGTCATTTGACAGGCTAGAATGCCAAAGTTTGTGATTCGCGTTAAAGTCGTCCAAAACCAAATGGTTTTCGCCCCTGAGTGGCGCACCTATGTCAGCGGTGTATCCTGCTGGGCAACTTGAAACTGGAGGAATGTATATATTGAATATTTCGAGCTCGGCATCGCCTGACCGGATAGCTATGCCCTGACATTCTAGGGTAGTACGATACTGCACGGTATTGTGCAGGATGAACGCTAGGCCCCCACCATGATCTCGCTCGGGATGCTTACGCATTTTGTTGTATGCGGCCCGGCTCAGAAAATCGGATCGGGCGGTCAACTTCGCTTTCTGGATCGCAGCAATTGACAGGTGCGCGCAGATCACGTAGTCGACTATCTCGTCGACCTTGCCCTGCAATCCGTTGCAGTTAAACTGTAGGAGTCGGGTCTGTCTCGGGGGAACGTGCGCATCGCTCCACACAGGCGCAGGCCAGAGCACGTCCGAAAATGGCACCAGCCAGAGCAAGAGTTGCATCTGGCTGAGGTCATGTTCCGACACACTATGGTCTTACACACGGAATAGACTATGCGGGGGACTAGGAGCTGCTGGGTTGCTCTCGCACGGGAGGAGGATGAAGTGCTGGTTGTGGGTAGAGATGGGTCCGTTGATTACCCAAAGTCGGTAAATGTGCTGAAGGCACTGCCGTGGAGGCTAGGGAGAGTTTGTTCGCTGGCAGCATGAGGCCACATAACTAGGGCTCCACTCCCTTTGGGTCTTAAGGCCTGAGCAAGTCTTAAGGTGACTCCAACCATTGTACTGGTTGCACCTAACCGAGGTAGAGGAGTTGTGGAGTCTTTTATGACACACACAGCACAGGATTTGGAGCAATCCAGCTGCAAGGTGTTGCTCCGTTGGCGAACTTTGGCTAATGTTACCTGTTGACCTAAGCGGGGTTAGGGCGTAAAAAGGGTGACAGCCCTTGGCCGGATAAAATCCGGGTCAACTCCGGTACGTAGATCCGGCTGGCTTGAGAGCTGTTTTTTATTTTCGTTCGTTTGGGCTGCCTGAATTTTTTTTATCTGAAACCGCTTAGTTCGATTTAAGTAATTTTATGAGAATTGCGTATTGGCAAACCATCTTTGATGTTTGTTTTTGCTTGCCTACTACCACATTACATTCTGCTGATCGAGTTCATTCAAATAATTCATATTGAGATATGAGCTATCTACATATATATATTTTATTATCACTCTTAATATAATATAAAGTCATGTAATTAAAGTGAGGCGAATATTTTATTTTCGAAAGCTCATATTATTATATTTTAAACGGCATATGTATATTTGGAAACTCAACAAAAGAACAACCGATCTTTACCGATAAAAAACAATTGTTACACGAAATTTGAGGAAACAAAATTTGAGCTTATCGTTTAAGAAATTCTACTACTAAATTGACAAATTTTTCTGGTTGGTCAAAGTGCACTAAGTGACCCGCATCGAGCCAATGTAATTCTGCGTTTGGAAACATTCGCTGAATATCCGGCCAACTACTGGGGCTGTGGAATGAACAAAGGATTAGTTTCTAGTTTACAAACAATAACGATTACGTTAATTATTTCTTACTCGACAAAATTGGATTGATTCCCGCAGATAAACATCACTGGTCCTTTGTAGGGCGGCAAATACTTTACATAATCTTTAAAATTGTTAAACAATCTCAAATTTTCGCGAAGTGCTTTAAGATTTGGGATCCAGTAGAACCTAAAACAGTATATAGACGTATGATAAAATCATTGAACAAAAAAAAACGATATAGGATTTTTTTTTTATAATGTGGTTTGAAATACATTTTTTACATTCCTGTTGCATATAATATACATAGCAGAACGCTTTCTAAGGGTTTAAGTGTTTTCAGCTATGGAAAAGTTCATACGTTTATTTTTTAGTTTCCGGTCAAAGAAAGACATATCTACCGTAAGATCCTATAGCTACCCTACTAATTGGGTTTTTATACCAGAAATACCGAATTTATACGGCCAAAGATTGTTACTCCGCCAGCATTATCCAACACATCCTTAGAAGCTAACTACATTCGTATTTTTTGTCGAGCGAAACAATAAAGACAATAATCTCGGGGATTTAGGTAATTGACGATATGCATATGTATATAGTATAAAATATCGGTGATAAAATTTGCAAAAAAAAAAAAAAAGTTGTATATAATTGAAATTATGTTTAGGAATTATACATACTCTCCATTCTCTCGCTTTTTCAAATTCAATAATATAAATTCAACGGTAGCTTGTACTCCTACCGCATCTTTAATTTGATCTTCAGCTAATTTTCGTCCCTGACCCAAGGAGTAGTTCGCAGGAATATTTACACTTTCCATCGCTTTAAATATTTCTTCCATCTGATGAAAATCTCGAGGTACTGCTATAGGAGATATATCAATAATAATTGCCCGATCCACTAACTCAGGCTGTGAAATAATAAAAGCTAGTTACAGTTGCTGATATCAAACATTCGGAGTACTGACGTGCTTAAGAGCAAAGTGCATCATCGCTCTGCCTCCCATGCTATGACCCATTACACAAGCTTTTTTAATTCCTCTATCTTTCATTAGTTCGACAGCATCCATTACCATATGGGCAGAACTATGTTCAGACGTATGAGGACTGTCGCCGTGATTTCTCGCATCCACTGTATATATCTGCAAAAAATTAAACCCAAGAAAGGTAAACCTTCAATTCCGAATTCACGAGGTACACACACTAAAAGCAGTACGCCATCAAAGGGAGAATAAATTTTGTGAGTTGCTTTACACATTGACCGCCATTCACATCTTATCGAATGACACCATATGTACATATGTATGTTCTACTTTATCGCCATGCTTTGTATGGCTTTGATGATCTTTTCTTTGCTTATGCATTGCGATTTTCTAAAGTGATTTTGCAAGAATGTATCAAAATAATTTTTGAAAGTCAATAAACCACTGATGGGTAATTGAATCTCATTTAAAATAATTTGTGCGTGAAAGCTATCCTGTTTTATTCAACACAAGAAAATATGTCAATAACTCACATACGTGTGGAGGTATAACAAATGTTACCAGTTTTTCAGCATATCAAATTTGATCGCCAGCGGAGATATGATAATTTCTAAAACATGGAATGGTTCAGGCATGATTGAACTGAAGGTTAGCTGAAATAGTGTAAAAGGGAAATCGTGGCAAGATTTTCCAAAAAAAAAAAAAAAATCCTAGCTGCGTCAAGAAGAATTAGCCGGTAACGAGATGTCGAAATTACGCTCTCTCTATACAAATTTTACTGGGTTTTTGTTTGTTGTTAGTGATTTCTAGACGAATGTGGCTTTAAGTCCAGCAAATGTTACTTCTACTGCTGTGCAAGTGATGCTCTGGCGGCATCAGGAGATTTCCTGTTACGGTTGTAAAGAAGGTGTTCTGGGGTACAATGAGGAAGCAGACCAGAAAACTTGGCAAAACTATTTTATATAGCCTTTTAGCTTATAGCTTTGAATATGTGAATATAAAGGGTGATTTTTAGCTATTATATTTGCGGCAACACTGGTTTTAACAGCTGACGCACGTTTCGTGTTTTGTATCACTGTCAAACATCTTCAGTTTGGCGCTTGCAAATTACTGAATTTCATTATCAAAATGCCTGCTCTGTTGAGAAAGTTCATCGCGCGCTTCAAAGCTCGTTTTTGGCTGAATGGGTGCGAAAATGAGCAGAATTGTCGATTTTGGAGTGAAGATCAGCCAGAAGCATTGCAAGAGCTACCAATGCATCCAGAAAAAGTCATACGGTCGTACGGTTTATTAGCTGGTGGCATCATTTCACCATACTTCTTCAAAGATGATACGAATCGTAACGTAACTGTGAATGGTGAGCGGTACCGTGAGATGATATCAAACTTTTTTTGCCAAAATGCAAAAGCTTGACTTGCATGACATGTGGTTTCCAGAAGACGGTGCCACATGCCACACAGCACGCGTAACAATGGACTTTTTGAGAGGCCAGTTCGGTGAACACTTTATTTCGCGCCCGGGACCGATCCATTGGCCGCCTAGATCGGGCGATTTAACGCCTTTAGATTATTTTTTGTGTGGCTATGTTAAATCGAATGTCTATACAGACAAGCCCGCATAAATTGACGCATTGGAGGACAACATTGAAGTATTGGTTCGTTAGATTCCGGCCGAAATGTTGGAAAGAGTATGTAAAAATTGGACTAAGCGTATGGACCATTTGAGACGCAGTCACGGTCAACATTTGCATGAAATAATCTTCAAACATTAAATTCGATGGACCGTACAATTGATTTAAATAAATATTTCATGCATTTTTTTAAATCTTATGTGTTTTTTCTTTAAACTTTCCTTTAGCTCTTAAAAATTTTCGCAGTTAATTTATTTGAATGTTGTGGTAAAGTAAATATTGTTACTTTTTTTAACACCCGAAATTGAATTTGGTATTCTGGCGAACTAGTTACGTTTGAATAAACTTTGGCTGCACTGCTTTTTTCGTAATTGTCAAATTACATTTGCCAGTTGGTAAACTAAGAAAAATAAGAAAATTCACATCGCAATGGAAGACGGTGCGCAAAAAAATAAACACGTTTTATTTATTTGCTTATTAAATCATAAATATTTGAACCTAATTATGGCAAACGCCTTTTTGCACTTTTTTTTAATCTTCAATGAATTCCAGGCCTAAAATATGTCTACCCAGTTTGATTATTATTTTTTTCTCAAACTAACAACACAAGATCAGAAAGCTGTTTGTTTGTTTCATCCTATTTCGCTGGTCACGAAAAATTTACAGGGTGACAGTGAATTCAGAATACGAAATAGTAACAAAATTTACTGAATGGCAAATTTTAATACCAAAGTAAATTTTATTACCTCGACAGAATAGGTATGTGGTATAATTTCACAACTTTAGTAATGGAACCGTCAACATCGGATTTTTTTTTTAATTTTCACTTACATATATTTACTTTGTGCATAGTTGTGATTTTAATATTTTGGTTGATTTTATCGGAAGACTACGTTAACAAGTTAATTTTCCAAAATCTTAAGCTTTGAAAATTGAAAATGTTAGTGAGTCCGTGATGATCGCCCGTTTTCAATTATCCTGTAATTCGTATATTTATGTACTTATTTGTCCCTTTCACACGTGTCAAGTCTTGCTTTCAAGTCTGCTCTGAAGAAAGGGGAAAGGTAAAGGAAAGGCGATACAGGCAAGTCTTTGCGATTTTTCTTGCCTTGCTTTTGACATATTCGTCGCGTTTGACATTTTTCACCGTTTCTTTTCATTTTGTTTTTCACATTACGGTATCGAAACGAGTGGGTAGACAAATAGAATTTAATTTTCTTGGTAAGTTTCATTGAGAAAAATTAATATAAATACATTTATAAAGATATAAAACCTTAACTTCAAACAAGTAAATAATCCAGTTTCATAAAATTAATTAATCATGAATTTACATAAAGTTTAAAATTCAATTACCAAAAAACAAAATTCATCATCGCTATCTTCTTCAATAGCTTAACGAGAAACTTTAAAAATATTTTAGAAACACTTTATAATTTTCTTTATCCAAAATTTAAAATAAATTTCCATTGTTAAAATTATTCAAGGAATGAAAGCTCGAATTCAATTAAAGTTCACGCACGTTAAAGTAAACTGAAAACGCAAAAGGGATTGACATTTGTTTGCATTTACGTATGTGCATATGAATATCCAGTGATGCAGTTTAGTTCGAAGATAACAGACTTCGTTTCCTTTGTTTTGATTATGATTGTAAAACGTCAACTACAAGTACAAATGCGCCCAGTAACGAAATTGGTCCCAAAGAAAGAAATTTACTGAGTTTTCACCGAAAAGGATTCATTAAAAATTAGCAATCAAGATGTACACAGCAGTTTATATTGGCGGCTAAATTTTAATCTGTTCATTAATTTTTTCTGCTTCTTAGTTTTTCCTAAGTTCGTGTATTTTAACCAAATTAGCGATATCAACAAAATTTTGTTATTTCTTTAAGGTTGAAATAACATTCCGGTTTGTGACTTTGGTGTAAGTGGAGGTGTTCATAAATTATATTATTGTATTAAANCAATATGAAATAATAACCCACAAACTACTCGACAGAGGACATAAAAAATAACACTAACTCAAACATAGACATTAACGGCATACAGATTTACACGAAAAGAAACGGGCAAGGACGGAAAATCGGCATACGGAACTGTGGACGATTGGGATACACACATCTCACATGCAAGTCAGAACCAAGATGTCGTAGCTGCGAACAGAGTGTCCAGTTTGGGAAAAAGTAAACATGCTCAATCATATAAAAGCAGTAAAACACATAAGTAGACGAGAAGCTTTAAAAACATACTACCCCAATAACTATAATAGATTTGACGCAGCAGACTTCCCTCCACTAACACAACTAGAAGACAATATACAAAACAAAGACCGAAATATTAACAGAAACTTCACGAAAATAAAATACAGCAAAATTTCAGAAAAAGTTATGTACCACAATCCAAGTACTTCAAAACAAAACGTTACCAAACGATCAACGCACACACCCCGCCCTCCACCGGCTTTTTCAAAGATGGAATATAACGAAAACAAAGTTTCTGAACTAGAGAAAATAATATCTGAACTGTTCAAAATGACACAACAGCTATGCATTGAGCACAAACTAACTACAGAATTGAAATATTTTCACGCACTAAAACAACTATTTGACCAACAAAATTATAGAACAAGAAGTTGACAGCATCAACAATAACATTAACATTGAAAAAGAAGATTCTTCAATATAATTGCCAGTCGTTAAAAGCTAATATAAACACAATGGAATATTATCTGAACAACAACAACTTTGACATTTCCAGTTTAAACGAAATCTTTTCACATAAAGGCAGAAAAAATGGAAAAATAATAAATTTCAACACAGTAGAAAAATCAAGAGAAGACGGATATGGGGGAGTTGCCATAGCGCTGAAAAAGAAATAAAATTTTCTGCAGTAAATTATAGGACATAGTAAGACATTTTAATAATCCAGACCAAAAATCTACAACCAAATCTTACAATATTGTTGCGAAAATGCGAGGCGAATGTCAGATGAAAGAGAGAAGCCGATAACTAGTACATTCTAGAAACGATAAAACGAGAACCATCGATAGCGAATAAATCGAGTATTCTACACTTTCGTCTACGAGCAGCCGACTGCTATATAAGGGCGACACTCAGCTGCCAAGTCAAGTCAGTTCCAAAGTGAACTCGTTTGCGACAACATAGAGTATAGCGGAATAAACTATTTGAGTCGTAAAGTAAACGCGTTGGAGATTACATTTAAGTAAAGTAAATTGTTAAAGTTTATGCAAGTGATTGTAGCTAGTAAAGTGCATTGTAATTGAATGGTGAATTACTAAGTAAATATAGGCCATCTGATAAATTCTTTGTAACGAAAGTTGGCGAGTTTTAACAATCCAGAGATCGTACCCGTAGGATTCAGAAAATCATCGAGGTTGATTTGGCAAAATCGTAACAATAGTATAACGATTTTCGGATTGCAAAGAAGACTTAGCGATATTTTTAAAGATATTCTATAATTAACGATAATTCTAACGATTTCAATATTCGGTGTACTTGTTTTAACGATATTCGCTCTCGCTGTTGTCGTAAACTACTCGACAAATCGCTTTTGAATATTTGCAATACGATTTATCACAATACACGTATGACGAGGTCTCCTACCGAGTTTCGGAAGCTATATAGATTAACGCCGGATTTAGTTGAAGAAAACGACTAGATTGTCAACTAAAAGGAAGAAGAATAACAGCATTGTCTACGGAGAAACAAGTAATAATATATTTTTTCAATATTGTTTTAGTCTTAACACTATTAAAATGTTTAAAAGTTCTAACCGCCTTGCGATTTCTTGCAACTTGCTATCAACCGTCGGAGAGAAATATGGGATATCCATGAGTCAGTCGTCAGTAAGCCGTTGTATTCATCGCGTAACAGACGCAATCAACCGTTCGCTGTTTTCTATTGGATTTCCAATGACGCAAACAGAGCGGCAAGCTGCAAAGAAAATTTTTCCTTCGTCATCGTCATCATTTGTTGGAGCCACTATGGAGCTATCAATTGCACTCATGTGTCAATCATGAGTCCCAAAAATCATGAAGAAGCGTATGTAAACCACCATGGATACCATTCCCTCAACGTGCAAATGACAAGAGTAAATTTGTTCCCAATTACTGTTCTAGTGACAAAGTTAATTATATTTTCACATAGAAATGTGGTCCTTATAGCAAGATTATAATGAACAATGCCAAGTGCTTTTATTTGGAGCTCCTCTATAGAGCGAAGAGACATGCATGAAACAGCAAACCATAACATGCTTTTGAATGCATTGTTATTCATTTAATAAAAATAATTTCAATAACAAATTTATTTGTTTTTGTCATTCCTCTTTGTGCTTTTCTTGCATTTTGACGTTTCCTTAAGCTGTGGTGCCACCTTTCGTACATTTCAATGAAATGGAAATGTGCGATGTCGATTATCGCAACAACTGAGTTAGAGAATCGCATAATCGTTAGCGCAAGCGACAAAAAGTTAGAGAATTGCACTGCAATAGTTTCGAAATTGATTTCGGCAGAATACACTCACTAATTCTGTTATTATAACACATTTTAGAAGTAAAAATTTTACTATCGTTCCTCACCATTTTATTTATCCTTGTTTCCAGTGCCTTAGCAACACCTCTCCAGTTTCTTTGGGAACCAAATAGACCATGCATTATAAATAGCGGTAGAGTTCTCGCGTTATTTTCACCATAAACTGTATACGACATCTTGACTGGACCCACATCACTAAAGGAGCGAAATTTCGTCGTTGCATAACAATTTATACATTTCAAATTTCTTGATATTAGCGCCGCAAACATTTTGTTAGCTTCCTATTATCTAAAACACGGATAAGTTGTCAACCTTACTTCACCTTGAGATGGGTAGAAACTTTCGATATCTTTTACAACCGATCTACATATTGTATTTTCATACACAGAGAATGTTAATACCAAAACAGTCACAAACGTATCCGTAGCCCATGATTGCCTACAGCTTGATGCACTAATTTGTACAAGCCTTATCGATCTAGCTCCAAAGCTTTTATAACTAATTTTAATTACAAAACAGAGCGGCAGTCGTCGACTAGCCCTCATTTTTTTTCTAGTTTGTTTCTAGCGGTTCTTCTTTGCACAAAAACAACTTCAACTCAATTAGTTACGCATTTAGTTACACGTAGTTTCTATAAATTTTGCGTAGTGAGACAAGTGTACTGTAAAAATCCCCTCCGTCGCAATGCACAGATTCCTTCATGTAATAAACAGTGATATTAAAATAAAATCTGAGTTAAAAGATAGTAGTTTACTACTCTTAGCAAAAGATAAGAAAACTGCAGTCCAATTCGCAAACTGCAAATTTCACGAAAATTTAAATTCTGTGAAAGAAACGGTTTTTGCTCTTTACTTAAATCAATTATCAGATGAAGAAATATCTAAATAGTTTGCTTCTCAAGGTGTCACTAAGCCGTACAAATTCATTGCAAAAACTAAGAACGAAATGGTTCCAAGCGGAGTAGTTTTACTCACTTTCGGCCTCTATCTGCTGCCTGAGACCATCAAAATTTCTTGGCACCAAGAACAATTATGAGAGTACTTCCCCAACCTAATACGATGCTAAAAATGCCGACGCACAATCAAGCACTGCAATGCTGACAAGCCTCTAACTTCAACAAATTTTCTAGATTTCTTCAACAAAAGGAAATATTAAAAATTAAAACCCAACGAAAATGCATCATCAAGCAAGCTAGAGAAATTTATTCTTCACAACTACTAAACAATCTTCACCCTCTCTTTAGCTGGTATTACTGCTAGAGACAAAGTTCTATCCTCTTTTAAAAACATCGAACCAACTTTAAAAAATTGCAACTCTTTCCTTTCCCCTTCCATTCAATCTTCCGACAACACTCTCACAGCAGCGACAGCATCAATTGCAATCGGCTCACTGCCCATGGATTACACTGTCTCTTCGGACCCTTCTCCCAACGTTTCGCCTATCTCAAATCTGACTCAACAGCTCATCCAAAAAACAATTACTTTGCTACCCTCCATCAAATTATTTCGATCAGTCTTTAGACAAACCAACAAGTAATTCTTCGAATCTTCGAAATAATTAATTTATAATAACAATATTATATGCCATTTGTAAAAATGAGATGATATCTCTATTACAATGGAATATAACAATTACATTCATCTTGAAATTCTAATACAAAATTTTAATATTTCTCTCAGAGAGCCCTCTATGGGGCTCTCCAAATAGGAAGTTACAACGCCGAAGCTTTGAAGACGCCATCCTAATCTTAAATTGCAACATCCCAAACTAGGCTTCTCCCACACACTTTTCCACTCATTCCCTTTCCCCCACATAGAACTCACTTTCTGTTCCTCGTCACTCTCTTCCAAATCTTCCTGGTGTTGTATCGATGACCTATACGGTAGCGACCACTTCCTATCCTCTCTAGAATCTTGTCCCCTAGCCCCGCCTCCCACTTCAAAGCCGGAGCTCAAAACCAATCTAGCCGAATGGAACCGATTCAACGAAATTTGTGTTGCCCATCATACGCACTTCCCAATATCCTCTAACGTAAACCAAGAAACCTCACGCATTCAATAAATTATCCGTATAGCTGCAGCAGAAGCAGTTTGAATGGCACGAATTGAAACGTAACCGTTTACTAATGTAGTAAAATATAATACAATATAAAATTCTTAACACTGTTTTCCGTTGGTAGGCCACATCTCTCTGTTCCAAAAGTTCACTAGCAAAATTAATCACAATTCTAGTACTAAGCAAATGGCTAACGGGCTTACCCTCTTTTTCCCCCAATCTCCTTCCTCAAATCTTCCCGTGGTAACCTACAATATCCCCATGATACAGCCCAATGTGTCCTCTAACATTTTCCTTGTTAAGAGCTAAACCTCTGGAGTTGGTAAAATATCGCACCCCACCATTAAGCATCTCCCTCCCACCCTACTATTCCATCTAAACAACCTCCATAACAACATTTACAACACTGTATATCTCCCCTTGATAATGGTACCCCTCAAGGGTCCCCTCTCCTCCATTCTCTTTACAATTGCATTTAACGAAATAAGCGCTATTTTAGCTGCTTTCCCTTGCATTAACCATCAACCTTATCCCGATGTCATTCTCAAAAACTTCAGATTTAAGATTAGACATGGCTTCCTTAACTAGAATATTAGCTTTGTTATTTAATTGGTCCAAGTCCTCAGGCGCTTGTGATAAAAACATCAGTTTAACACACATATTCTTAAGTTTAACAATGTAAATTTAGCTTGTACAAATTGTTTTAAGTTTCTAGGATTAATTTTAGACTGTAAGTACTCTGTATATAAGAATACAAAATGTTTGTTAACGTAAACACTATCAAATATCTATCGAGTAAGCGCCAATTTAATTACTCCGTATATCAGACTTCGCATCGGTGACTGTATTATAACCAATCTAACGGGCTTGAACCGCTCTGTCTGAAACCTCGTTTGGTATCGAAAGGCGAGATCCTTCGCGATGATGACGGAGAATTTAGTGTTCCTTCACTGTAAAACTAATGCAGCGTAGAACTGTCCGCGAAGAAATTCAGTATTTGTACTCTACGGGGGTCGTCGTGTTGCAAAAAAGACCTTATTCGCCCTGTGACTTTTATTGTACCCTACATATAAATCGGTAGTCATCCAGACGGACGTAAGGAGAGTACTCGCGGACATCCCAGTCTAAGCATTCCAGAAATTTTACGAATCATGGAAAATGCACTGGAATCGTTGTATAGCTGGCCAAGCGAACATTTTTGAAGGTAATGGCAGAGATGTAGAATAATTTTGAAAAATACGGTTTATATGGAATCAGTCTCATTACTTAATTGTCACACCTTGTATCTTGGAGTGGTATGGTTCGGCGACAAAGGTGCTTTATTTGTAACAGTATTTGCTTGAAATACCGTACTGAGGAGCATTGCAAAACAAGCCCACTTTTCTTCAACTGTTCTAGGCCCAAAATCCGTTAGCCAGTCTCAACGGTGCTTCCTTAACTGCTAGCACCTTAAAGTTTTCGCATGCTTTCCAAGGAGATTTTTTCGGAATTTTTTTCTTCGTCATGTCTTAATGCCACTTTTAGCAAATAAATTTCGGTGTTAGTTATATTTTTCCCATCCAGTTTTCGATCGGTATGCATGGTTTATGATTTTTTTCATATCCAGCCAGTTAGTGGTAGATGTCATAAGACGGAAAGGAGACTGACTATCAACTTTCGTGAGTGTGCATACGCATTATAATATCCTCCAATTAAAAAGCTATCTTAAAGAGACTTAGTTGCTTCTCTGTTATTACGAAGCGTGGGGTGTATACAATTTACATATATGGCTGAGGTGGGTTTCCTATATGAGCACAAAATCAATTTCTTGAGTATGGAGAAATAATTATAGGGTTAATTTGTGCTGATAACACCATTAGCATTCCATACACATATCTTAATTTTTGACTACCTCAGTTTGAAGCATTGGTTTCGCGCTTTTATTTAAAGAGCACTTATTAAAAGCTCGCCACATTCTACGCATTCAGTACGTAAGGTACAGTAGGATTTGGTGTTCCCAAACTCCAGACGGTGTAAGAGCTATTTGAATTTGCAAATTGGATGGGTTGCATTCATCATAAGCTGAGTTGAAGTTGGAGATGTAATCAATTGAACAACAAATTTCGAAATTCGAAAAATTTAATCACATTGTTGAAGGGATATATTAAGTCAAATATAGTTACTGGGGTTCATTGCTCAGTAGATGATGATTACGATATACAAGAGAAAATAAAACAAATTTTCACAAATTAATTTGTATACAAAATAATGTTGCTGTCGTAGTAAAAAATAGAAAATACATATATAGAAGTTACCAAGAAATATTGAACCAAATTTTTCAAAAATATTATTGGCACAAATCCTTTGTAGTAAAAATAAGTATGATCGACATCCAAAACAAGTAGTGGGAAAAGATACATATTGATATCTTTTATGGACAAACTTTCAACTTTAACTTATTTATATTGAATATCTACATTTATTAAACATTTTGAGGATATAAGGGATATTAGTAAAATAATTGGAAAATTTTTAGAAACAAAACTAAATTTTCTGGAAGTACACTATGTATATAGCTTATTTATTTTTATGCATTCAAAAAAAAAACTGTTAAAAAAACATTCGGAATTTGTCCGGATTTTATGGCTTAATTTAAATTAATACATAACTCCAAATTGGTGGTGTATGTGCGCAGCTACGTCTCTTGGTAAGTATTATTCATTAAAACTTTTTGTGTGCTTATACATGTGCATAAAATAATAAAAATGCACCAAAATAAAAAAGTGAAGTGCATTATTGCAAGTGTATAATAGAATAACAGCATATGGCTGCAAACCAAAGTTCAAACACGAAATAATTTCCTTTTTTGTTTTAATTTTCATACTTTGTGTTATTCTCATCCAAAGAACAGCAATTGTACATTAATATGTTATTTTTAAATAACGATAGTGTATTTGTTTATATTATATATATATGTTTTTATATGTACATAGACACTTATCTATAATATGTAGCTACATAGGAATAAGAAAATAAAAGTAAAGCAAAACAATGGTATTTTGATTGATGTTCTACATATTATTGCACCTCACTTTTTTTCTTTTGGTGCCTTTATATATATTTTAAGTACATGCACAATCACATAAGTAAATCATTTCAAAAAATATTACTTGTCAAGGAATGTAGTTAGACACATACTTTATTGTGGTGTTCCTGCTTTGAAATAGGTTTATTCCAATCTGCAAAATAAAAAAATTAAGTTGAAAATTAATGCACAAAATTCACTTTATTCAACACATAAATACATACCTTTCAAGCCCGATCAAACTGCGAAAATTATTTTCAAACAAATTTTTGAAATTAAAGTGAGAGTAGGTAGTCTTGGCTGGCAGGATCTAATGAATTCACAGTACTAAGTGGAAAAAAATCTATCATTAATAAAGGAAATATCTTATATAATAAAATAACTCTTGAGGAAGTAAAGGACAAATTGAAATAAGCTAAGGCAACGTTTTGTTTAGAAGTACTTGGTTGGTGGTACAAAATTTTTTCTGAAATTTTGCTGTATTTTGTATTCGTAAAGTTTCTGTTAATATTTTGGTCTTTGTTTTGTATATTGTCTTCTAGTTGTGTTAGTGAAAGGGATTCTGTTTCGTCTACTCACAGTGCGTCAAATCTATTATTGTTATTGTTGTTGTATGTTTTAAAGCTTCTCGTCTACTTATGTTTTTTACTGCTTTGATGTGGTTGAGCATTTTTCTTTTTGCGAAACTGGACATTTGTCATAGTCTGTGTATGTATGGTCGTCATTTTGGCTAGTTTGCCTTGCACTCGCTTTACCCGCAGCTAAGACATCTTGGTTTTGACTTTCTTGCGGGATGTGTGTGTCCAAGTCGTCCACAGTTTTTACACTGTGTCAACTTGGGTATATAAAATGATACATCTAATTATTCGTATGTATTTATATATTATATAAATAGGGACATTTTTTGTTGTTTTTGTAGGCATGTATGTCGATTTTCCGCCATATTTATTATTTAATTTGCCATACAAATTTTCGTGAGCGAATTACAGTGAAAGTGGGTAATTCGTTCTCAATTGCCATGCGTATTACGACCAAATCGATGCCTTCTCTAATTCTTATCGAAATTTTATCGAGACCAGCTGACAAATCAAAACGAAAGAGAAGAGAATAGTGAAGGAAGACGCTAACACACAAACATTGGTTTGAAACCAAAGACTATTTGTATATTAAAGAAGAAAAAAATTAGAAATTATTAAAGAAACTGGCATTACATTACCAATTCAATTCAAAATTTTGTTAACTTCGACTAAAATCTTTCATTTTCCTTACGTTTTCAAATGGAACAAACAAGCGAAACAGAAAACTTTTAAACTGCGTAACCGTGAATGGGGGTAACTCGCAGTCGTAATTGAGAGGGCGAAACACGTAATTGGTCTGTCGTGGAAATGACGTATAAATCTGTATACCGAGTTAATGTCTATGTTTGAGTTAGCGTTGTTGTTTATGCCGCCTGTAGTGTGGTTTCTGGGTATTCCCTTATTACTGTATATGTTTCGAGTGCTATGTTTGGGATAAAAACACGTAATTCGTTTTACACTATGTCTTCGTTGGTCGTAAGCTAGTTCGCTGCATTACTTGTCTTGAACATAATTTTAAAAAGCGATTTCCCTATAGCCCGTATAAGTTCTATTTACGTGGTATTTGTCTTTGATAGTTGCAGTCGTAGCCTCAAACCATTTGCCATTTTTTCGTTAGTAATATCTTTGCATTTTAAAGTATGTACCGAAATTGGCTGCAACGGTTTTGGGTTTTGACGGCAACTTGACTTGTTTATTAGAGTGTCTAATATATTTATTTGGAAGTGGTCTAAGCACACTTTACCTGTTGTGATATTTTTATGTTGGTTTATACACAGATATACACATATATATGTTATGTTTTTCACAGATGTGAAATTATAATATCAGAACACCTCCACTCAAACCGAAGTCACAAGCCGGAATGTCGGTAAAAACCTAAAAATATTCGTCGCTTAGTCAACGATATCTTATATTTGTGTATAGCGAATATCGTTCAAATTATTGTTTAGTCAATTAAACGATCCGAAAATCGATATAGAACAATAGAGAATTTCCAAAAGCCCGTACCTAATTTTTCTACGGACCAAAAGCGAAAGTTGGTGGCTGAGGTGAAGGCGTGACCCAGAATTTGGGAATTGCGGCCAGTAGTACGCCTAGTTTTTGTAATTTACTTTGTTATTGTCCACCAGCTGATTATGTGTATTAAGTTGTTTACTTGACAATGAGCTTAAGAACTGGATATTGGCCTTGTATTGTAAAGACGATATTAACCAATATAAACTTCGTTATAGTTCTAAAAAAAAGTTATTTGAATATAGCGCGTTCGTTCCCTGTAAATCCCAATGTTTCGAGGGTGCATTATAATTGGGAGAACTAACAAGGTATTTGTGTTGCGTGTAAATGTCGCATTACTTAAAACAATCCAATTGAGTAATGTGAACGTTTCCTAAGAATTCATATCGATTTTGTTTTTAAAATTATTTATAGGTGTGTAGCAACGTTCGTGCATATTTTAATTCTACCTTTATGGAGTTATTTAGTGAATTTGTGGAAAGAACTATAAAGTTACAGAAAAAAGTTGATTTATTCTAAAACTGTTTTTATTATTAATATAGCTAAAAATGGCACACGATCGGGAAGTCCTAAGAATGATTTGGGAGGCCCAAATAGCGATATGTTTCCAAGCCGATTCAGAGGAAATCGTTGGCTTACAACAGCCGGAGAATTTTTATTTAATGGTTTCAAGATTGAGTTATTTGCCTTTAGTTACAGATAAGGTTAGTTAGAATACGCGTATGTATTATGATAGTTGCTCATACATTTTCTTCCTTTGTATTTAGGTAAAAAAATATTTTAGTCGTTACATTTCACATGAGCAGCAGGATGGTAATATTTGGTTTGATTATAATGGAATTCCACTGAAGCTGCATTATCCTTTAGGTAAGTTTAAATATGTAATGTGATCAATAGAAATATTATTTGGACTATTGTTGGGCTTAAACATACTAGTTGCCAACTTTTTCTGTTATAAGATTTTTCAGCAAGGCACTGGTTCACACCAAGTTGGTTCCGTTGCCATATTTGTGGATGCATGAGGAAAGTGAGTATTTATAGAAGGTCGAGGGTTTCATCCGTAGGTACCGTCCACGTCTCTAGGCCTCTGCAATACTCCCTTCTTACGCTATCTCCACATTGCTGCAAAAGTTTCTCCGGACACACTGGATCCAGGGCTTTGAAAATGGCTTGCCAGCTCTTGCAGTTCTGTTGTGTTTGTAAAAGATGATGAGAGGGCTTCAGTGAATATAGCGATAATCGGAAAAGGAGTGCCCCTTAACGCCCCTCCAATTCCTTATCGTTGTCCGGCCTTCTACCGAGGTTAGAGTGACATTTAGAATCTTCCTTCTATTACTTGTGAATAAAGTATGTGGGATCATTGGCTTTATTGTTTATAATGAGCCTCGAATTTGAAATGAAATACGAAAGTGACTCACCCCTTTCATCCTCTGCAAGAACCAACGGTTCGTTGTCGTCCTGCACCAGGATAACTACGGACTGTTGCTAGGTACATTGATGATAACCTGAAGTTTCGAAGGTAATTGTTATAGTCTTCGTTACTATATTGGGAAAGAAACAAGATTTTTTGGTTTGAGCTAACAAGTATGGCTGATATTGGCTTGCCTTTTATAGCGCTCACCCAGGCTCCTGGATGAGGGCTATGTCCACAACCCCGATGACATTTGGAGCAATTGTGCAGAAGTTTATGCTTTCACTGTCGTCCCCAACGTCACATTCTTCCGACTCTCTTGGATATGTTGGGCTCGAGTCTGGATAGGTAGGAGTTTAACCTCCTATAGTAACCAGATCAAAGTTGTGCCAATGTCACGCGAGTCTCTCGAGTGAATAAGTGATGGTTTATATCTCCGAGCAAGCCATTCATGGAAAGTGAGTCTTGGAAGATGTTGACTGAGTCCTGGTAAATGGCGTACAGTGCTTGTCTGGACGCCGTCCTGTCCAGCGGTTGTTTCACAAGTAGCTGTGTTGTGTCCTTTAAATCTGGTACTCCCTTTCTGATGTGTCAAGGTGGAGGTCCAGGTTCTATTTGTTGCCTATTGGGATGCTCCCGACGGTAACATCCAAATAGGAACTGCTTGCACAGCAAAACATTATGCTCTTAACTCGTAGCATAGATGCTTCGCTGTGCATGTGATGCTCCCGTGATATTAGGAGGTTTCCTGTCATAGTCCTGAGGGCGGTGTTCTGACAAGCCTGTAGCTTCTTCATCTATTTTCTAATTTTAAAGGGTCAGTTCCGGATTGAAAAGCCTAATAATTTTTATGATGTTATCCGGCTTTACAGGGAGCCAAACTCTGACTCTCGGTCTGGATGTTAGGTTCTTAAAGTCTGTCAACCGCGCATCGGGGTAAACCTCTCCACGACTGCTCACGACTTTCTTTTAAAGTGGTACAGCATTTATCGGGAAAGGCCATGAATACGGGTGAGTTCCAAACGTCAGTTACAAAGCAAACATACATTGCCATTTCCTAAAAACTGTGCAAACTTTAACGATGTATCATGTTCCAAAATGCATCGGTAAAGTTATTGATGCGCAAACAAAAGCAAACTGCGCATCGCTAAGGTTTATCACAAATTCTTAGCAACAACGGTCGGCGTCAGAGCGCAAGTTTTTTGGTTTCACAACCGAATCATTACAAAGTATTTGAAGTTTTGGAACTCGCCCTACATCCTGATGCAACCTGGCTCCCGTAGACTAGGACCAACCTGGCTCCCGGAGACTAGGATCAAGATAAGGCTATTTACGGGCTCCAAGTCAGTCTGATCCTCGGTAGGGAAACGCTTAACACCTTAATCGTGTCCGACCTCATGACCACGATCGAGAACCATTTCGATATGGCAAGCCATTGAGGAGCATACGTATATAACATTGATTCTAGATATTTGCCTAATACCTACCCGACAACGTACAGTATTGCTATGTATTTCGCTTACCAGTCGGCATCCTCGATCTGATGATTTTTGCCGACCCGCCTGTGTACCTGCTCTAATCATACCCCACATTTGGAACAACATAGCATAGCTGCCGAATTTGAATGATTGCGAAAGTTTTCAAAACTCTTCAAGCGGAGTGGCTCGAATTTTATCCGGCAACAAGCGACCCACGATTTTTCAGCTCAGTTAGATTACTGTGCAAGAAATTTCTGCTGGGATGCCACCGTAAACATATATTAGAAGCCAAACCACCACCTAGGCACATCAGAAAGGGAGTACTCGGCCTTAAGGACTGTATTCATCAACTTGCGAACAGGACTGCTTACCGACCAGTTATTCACCGATAGTCGGTCGACATCTTCCTGAACTCTCTTCCAGGGAATGGCGTTCTCGGCATCAAACTACCACCCACCTATAGCAAAAGAAGAGCTCGAGATTTTTTGAAATATTAGTTCAACTTAGGTCTACAACACATGTCCTGCAACCAATAAGTCCCCGCACGACACTAACCTCCTCTTTAGATGCCCCATAAAGCAACTAAACTAACACCCCTTAGCCTATGGTCCGAACCCGTCGAAAATAATTGTTTCTGGACCTCCAGTTAAATGACCCCGACAACAACAACCGATCAGTTTTTAGTTTAACTGAAGCGGACTTAGGCATGTAGTTGACTTCATGAGTCGGTATTCAGACCTTCTGCCCTTAGAATGTCAGAACAAAACTATCGGGCCATACCATGTTAAGTATTTACATTCCTTCTGTTCAGCAGGATACTGCGCTGGTCAAATTAACAGTATAACTCTGTGCGCAAAAAAGATAGGAAAATGATTCTATTTTACGATTCTAAGCATCATGTTTATACACTTCTCTGTTTCCACCAGCGGGTACTGCATCAAAAACTTTTATAGCTGGAATGCTCTAATCCTTAAACGAAATAATCTAGAACTTCAAAGTTATGACTATCAACAGTGACGTGGTGGCCTAATCGCAAATTCGATAAATGTTTAGTTGATGACAGGAAATAATTCGTCTTTTCCTCTTTCCCCATTATCCTTATATGCTAAAATGCATATCCTTTATAAACTCATTATATCTCAATCTCCAAGCTATCTTTAAGCCTGGCTAACTTTAAATAGGTCCCCTTATGACAGTCAGTAATCGTACACAACAACAGTTGGCGTCTTCAAGGCGAAATATGTTGCTACAACGTAATATGCGTGCACACTGCATGCTAAGTTAGGGATAGTTATAAATGTTTTCAATGTACTATCTATTTATGTAATAGAAAAGAAATCAAAGGGTTCTAAAATTATTGCATTAGGGCGACCGTGATGGCCGAGTGGTTCGAATTGAATATTGTCATTTCGAAGGCCAGGGTTCTAAAAAAAAAAATTTAAATAAAAATTAAGTAAAATTCTCACCCAATGGGTAATTATTTTTTAATTTAGTTTTTAAGATTTGATAACTTATTGTGAGGCTTCAGATATTGCAGCAGATTCAGTAAATAAATACAATTATTAAAAAAAAATTCTTGATGCGGTCGCCCCTAGACAGGGTATGTAAAACACTTCGAGTGTATTTATGATATGTGTTTAAGCTTGAAAGGTAGGAAGGAGCGGATGTTTAGGAGTAGGGATGGTGTTGCTAAATAATACCCGTAAATATATTCATAGAATCTTAATGGAGTATTGGGTGGTGCTCAGGGGTGAGCTCCGAGTGAAAAATTTGGAGATGATGTTGAGTGACCATTCCATTTGTTGCGCTTGGAATTTATTGAGCGCTTTGACTCCTCAAAATTTGTGGAGCGAGGGGGTACTCCAGTGATTTTGTAAGTCAAGCTTACACCACTTAGGAACTGGCGTTTTTCAGCAGTTCCTGGTGTCGGCAAGCGTCTAAACAAGTACACTTTCACACATTGCTTCACTTTTCACCTGAGAATTGCACTTATGTATATAAGCACGCAAGCGTATGCACATATGTACACACGCGCATGCATATATGCCTAAGTACCCCAAATGACAGGAAGCAAAAACTATTGCCTAGAAATATGTTGGGAAATAGCGCGTGGGATGATACATGCTTAAACAACATGAAATAAAGGCTCGTCATAAAAAACCATCAGCCTTTCGGAGGCGACATACTACAAATTGGAGCTCCCTCCATTTGTTGGAAAAACATAAAGATCATCAATGCTGAATACTAAGTAAGGTATCAACTTGTCACATAATAGTTCTGTTCGGCGATTTGATTTTATTGAATTTTACCGAATCGCGTTCGGTGAACCAAAAAGTCAATACGTTAGACGTTTGGTTTGGAGATTGATAAACAGCTGATTTGTGATAATATGACTGCATTTCCAGAAACCAAGTTATGTATGTGGTATGGACCTATTTGTTGAAAAAACAAACTTAATAAACAAACTCATTTGTTACTTTGCTTTTATAAGAAAAATAACATTTATTCTACCTAATTATAGGAGTTCTCTACGATCAGATGCATCCTGAAGAAGACAGTGTTCCATGGTGTTTGACTATTCATTTTTCAAAATTTCCGGAGGACGTATTGGTAAAGATTTCATCTAGGTTCGCTTTGCCTTAAACGTTATTATCTTAAGTGAAATAATTACCATATGATTTTATTGTCAGAGAACTTTTGGAATCACATTTTATGTCATGCTTAAAGGAAGCTGATGTTCTTAAGCATCGAGGTCAAATAATATCGTCGATGCAAAAAAAGGATCACAACCAACTCTGGCAAGGATTAACCAATGATAAATTTGACCAGTTTTGGGCCATCAACAGACGTTTAATGGAGCCAAGCGGAGATCAAGAAACTTTCAAATGTATACCTATACGTTTTTACTCCGATGTAAGTATATGAATTTCTCAAAAAAAAAAAAAATTATAGTTATAACCAAACACCATTTTGGTTTAAAGCACATTTCTTTATTCAATGCATGGAGCCACTTATATATATAATTTGGCAATTTGTAATCGCTGAAGCGATTTATGGGCCCAGCTCCTCCTGAAGCCAGTTGCAGATGGTTCAATTTAAAAGAGGGATTGATATAGAATAAAATCTTTCGATCGGCTTTCTAATGTCCCTTTTGATATATGGCATTAATATTTAAATACAATGTTGAAAATGTTACTGTACAATTCTAACTTATAACAGGATAAAAGAATAGAAGAAAAAAATATTTTTTTCTTTAGTTGTGAACGTCTTCTACGTTGCCATACAGTTTTAAATAAAAAAAAATACTTGAGATTGTTTCGGGTTATAATTTTGTACCATTTTATAAAAAAAAAAAATAAGAAAGAAAGAACTTGATATTTCCAAGGACCGGAACTAGTCGGCTGATTATTTATTGTGGACCTTTTATGATATATCACTAAATAATGACTTATATATGTTAAAGATTTTAAAATTCAAGTCAGTGAGAATTACAAAAAGATATACAACTCAAATTCTGAGTAGTTTTGCAATTTTTTTTTGTTGAAAGAAATAATAATGAGTAGAAATTTCTCAAATGGGCGCATACATTTTCAGGTCGGAAGAAAAATTGAAAGCTAGGGAATTATTTTAGTTATTGGCTTATTTGTTTATTCACCATGTGCAATTGAAGAAAATGCAGCGTTTTATTAAATATGTTTTTTCTCAGGATGTATTCAATGAAAAATAAAGATAATTTGGGAGAATCTCAATAAATGAATGTCTACCTGAAGTAATATTCCCTATTAATATATTTATTATCTTTGCTAACTTATTATTATATATGTATATATATATACAAACATACATAATTGCGCACATTGAAACGAAGAACTCGGACCGGCCTTGTTTTCCTAATATATAACTTTTAAGAACTCATGAGGTTTTTTCACATTGCCAATACAAATTAGCTCAAAAAAGTTTCAACAGTTTATTCATTGTAAACGTTCAGCTTTCCGGAAACTTAAATCCTGTGAAATTACGCGTGTAGGAAAAGGCAATATATGTATTTATATGTATATAAACAAAGAAAGAAGAGCAGTTTCGACCCTGGCAATACGATCGGACGCACACCACAAATTCGATGTGGATCTCGGCCGAAAAAATGTATATAGTAGGTGTAGTAAAAAGAAATACATTATTTTACCAATCGATGGCCTACCTGACGGTTTTGTGATTGGTTGTTACAGTTTTGTTTGAGCGTACGACAAAAATGGACACTAACAAAGAGAAAATACGCTATATTTTACAGTTTATCTTCGATAAGGGCGAAAACGTAATCCAAACGGTTGAAAATGTGTTGCAGTCAATCATGCACAATATCGGTTTCATTACGGTAATTTTTTATGTAAAAGACAGTATTAGTATTGCACGAAGAGATTAAAAAAAAAAAAGAAATAAAAGCTGTCTTCTTAATACCTTTTATGACCATATCAAATTTATGGTATTTCATTTTAGGATCAAATATTAATTCTAAGATCTTAAAAATTCTTAAGATGACTTTTGGTGTCAATATTCAATTGCATATACGTGGACAGAATAGCAAATGTCTCACTCTCCAAAAAATTTTGACAACCGAATTTCACTTTCTTTCACTTCATTCATCATAAACAGGAACAGTTGATAATCACTTGGTGCGAAGAGCAGACTAAAAGGTGGATTCAAAAGAGCTACCCAACCAAGCTCTCGGAATTTCTGGTGAGTCACCATCGATGTGGGTGATCTTGCGCGGTCCTGATGACACACAATTCCTCTGCTGGATACGGTCCAATTACTGACAGTACAGCCCCGAACTGAGAGTTTGGGCTTAGGAGTACAGCTCATAGTTGATAATTCCTTTCTAATCCAACCAATAAAAAATAAAACCTTGACTTGGAGCCAGTTGGGTCGACTCCGTTTTCGCTTGACTTGCTGTAAGTGATTCACTTTTTACCACCAATGCCTATCAGCTTCTAAAATGGGTCCATTTTGTTAGGATTCAGCAGCGATTCGGAGATGAAAATTTAGTCCATTTATCTAATTGTAGAAGACCAGAAAATTTCCGGATATCGTTTTTCCGATATTTACGGTTTGGTTCACCACGAATTCGTATTACTTGAGCGTTTGCTCAAAAACATCAGTCGTAAGCGGCTGGAATTGTGGGCCAACAACTTATGGATTTTTCATGACGATAATGCGCCATTCCACCGAGCTGTAGCAATGAAAGATTTTAGGACCGAAAACTCGTGCAATTCCATCGATCAACCAACGTATTCGACTCGATTTAGGCCGTAAAAGAAAATTCGCAGAAGGAACTGAGGTGGACTGATTTCAACAGCTGCCAAAGATGACTAGATACGAAACTTAAACGTTCCCCCCATTTCACATTCTTATATTGGTAGTAGTGCCAGATCGGGGAACATTTAACAGCTGATGTGCAGAACGCACCAGTACGAATATGTTAATAAAAATCCATTGTCCTAAGTATAAAAAGGGTATTAAGTTCTATTGTACTTAGAAATTTTATTAGAACTGATATTTTTTTTTAGTTTAATTTGTTACCTACTGATTCCTTTAAATATTTCAATCGTGTTAGAATGAATTTCGCTGGGGCTTTTATTCTTGGCATTTGTAATTGGTATTAAATAGACCGTCTATGTTGAGTAAAGAAAAAGGACTTTTGAAACTGGGGGGTGTTCTTGTGGTTTATAATGAAAGCAATGCTCACAGTTTCACGGAAGTTTAATTCCATTTAAAGTTTAAATACATTTGAGTCGATTGCGGCTACCGTATTTGTACACGTGGTACATCTTGTCATATTTGAGGCAGAAACACTTTTCTTGGCGTTGTTGTCTGTAATCCTTAACGAAATGTCCGTAACGGGAACAGTTTAAACATTTTGTGTTTTAAATCTTATTGTCTGATGCATACATATATTTCGGCTTGTTAGGTTTTGAAGCAATATTTCGTATCTCGGAATTACAAATTTGAATTCTTTGATTGTTAATACGCCGGTGAAGATGATAACTATGCAGTTGTTGAATTATACACACACGGATACCTGATTTCATTTTCCGAAGTGTACCTTCAGAACTGCTTGAGCATCAGCAGTTGGGCACTACCGATAAGGAGTTGGTGCATAACATGCGTACAGTTTTTTTTGTCGTAACTATATGCCTTAGTACGTATTCTAGTTCACTTATCCATTTGCTGGCCATCGTCCTCAGTGAATTTCGGTATTCCGATTTCGATAACACTAAATTTAATAGCAGAATTATGTACGGGAGCAGCATATAGGATCTTTCCCGTTACTGATACCTTGGTTTAGCTTAATAATTTTATTGGTTTCCCTAACTGTGCTTTTAGTGTAGAAAGTTCATCTAACGTAACGGAAAGTTCTAATAAAATGTTCTTTCCTGAAGTTCTGTGCCATTGTTTGCGCCGTTAGCGCAAGATTTTTACATGACGGGCTGTGCGACGCTGCCTTACTGCATAGTGATTTCTTCCGGCTGAAAGTTATTCGCCACTGTGCCCCGTGCGGAAGGTTTTATTGTTTCAATTGTGCATGCTAGAAAACTTTTCAAATGATACAAGCTTTCTGACTGGGAATGTGATTGTCAGTTCACGGAGGGCGTCCGTAATTTGTTGGCGTTGCATTCAATCAAGCAATTCTTACTACACGTTTGATGATTCTGACGACTTACTACTTTACCTAAATTGGAGCGTTGAGTGCAAAACAACTATCAAAATGGCCATACAATTTGTATTGGACATCCCGCAATAACGCGTTGAATAAATGGAATTTTAAATTTCGGCAGCGGGGTATATGATGAAGTTAGTTGTAAAGGATAATAGTCTAAAAGAAAGGTAAAAACTATCCAAGATAAAAAGGCAAATGGGAGAAAAATTTGGCAAATAAACTGTATTTTGCAAATAAAATGACAAATTCACTGAAAATTAGTTCAACTGCTGGAGGCACACTTTTGCCGACCGATTAAGTTTGTAGTATCTTGTTTGAAATAAATGCGATTAATTTATTAAATGTTCTTAAAATTATACGACTTGAAGATAATGCGCGAAAACTCCAAAACGTACGTTAGTGCACTTATTTAGAGATAGTGCGTGTTGCTACTCATTGGCTTTAGGAAATCCAACGCCGAACGCACCAATCAAAGTATGCCAGTTAAGTTTATTCAATATTGTGTATACATTTGGGCATTTCTCCAAAGTCGAATGTGATAATCGTACGTATTCAAAGTGGAAAAAACATATACAAAAACAAAATTTTATTTTGACATATGGCAAAAGTTGTATCACTCTGATTGGTCCTAAGTACGATTTTGGTCAGTTGTTCGAACTACAAAAAATCAAAGCATTCACATGCGACAAAAACTGAAGTAACTTTCAAAGCTAAGAAAGGAAACATTTATTTTAGCGACACCCAAAGAAATATTTTAATGGGACTATATTGCAATAACAGTTTTTGTTTTTTTTTTTCAAAAATATTAAGTAGCTTATGTTCAATTTAAAAAGAGCACTGTTGCGCGCTACATATCGCATGCGACATTTTGTTCCACCATACTACATTATCTTTCTTTTTACTTTTTATGTATTTAAGCATGTATAAGATTATTATAAACGATGTTTAATATATTCAATTTATTTATTTTACAACAAAAATTACAAACCTAACAAAACATCTTCAGGATGGAAAATCCAAAATAAATCTTTTACTCTTGCTATATTTACATACATATATAAAAGCAAAGAACCTAACTGATATTAGTGTTATTAATGTCGAAAAAAATATTTACTTGGAATGTGCAGTCCCTGCTTTTAACTGTGGCCATCGCCTAAAAAACATGTAAAACATGGGGATATACTTTTTTTACTTCCTTCCGTTTTTGGTCCCACTATTATATAATGTAAAGAAAAATATTTAATTTGAGCAGATGGCATAAAATACATTTCAATTCCATTTGTGTTGTTTTCTGCATACTGATAAAACGATAGTGCATCAGGTAAAAGAGCGTTTTCAGTAAATATAAGGATCTTTGAAAAATACTTATACATTTTAATAATCAGTAAGCTACCTATGAATAAAATTTCAAAGAGATCAGATTAATACCGATTCAGCCGTTTTTTAGTTATAAGCGTAGTAACTAGCATCAGTCATTCTCTTTTATTCATACAGATTTGTTTATTTTTAGGAAGATGTGTACATTCAAAAGTTGATACCACCGTTAAATAAAAATGGGCAAAAGAAAACGATTGGTGAAATGATGGTTGAGTTGTCAACGCCACATAAAAAGATTGGTAAGCTTAAAACATTTACCTCTACATTTTTAATTAATATTGAGATTCTTACTTTAGTTGAAGTTAGGACTCACGGCATCGGTATTCATGAGGAAGCAAATTTACAATGGTTATCGGAACATCTGAGTTATCCAGATAATTTTTTACACATTTTTTTAGTTTACGAATCTTAGGTGTTTGAATCGACTTTGGATACCAAAATATAGACTAAACTCATTAAAATTGAAAAGTTATATGCATTTGTTAGGAATGTTTTGCCAGGAAGAAATTTTTTAAAAAGATTTTTACTCCTCATAATAAAAATCCAGTTCAAAGAAATATCGATTAATATTCAAAAAAAAAGTATTTTATTTGTTATATTCATAAACGAAATTCAAAATACAAAAAATATACCGTATTTTGAAAGATTTTTTACCACATGAAATGCTACATAGTGGGGTTCAAATACTTTGGTGTTTAGTAGACTAGTTTTTTTTTGGAAGAGAAGTCATTATACAGATTCACAAGTAGCAAAACTGATTTTTTTTTATCCACGAAAATTTAACTGAATGTATATTTTTTTGAATACAACCACTAGTTTGTAAGTAAATGTGTTGTAGTTCTGTATATCTTTTAAGTTTACTAAGCTTAAAAAGTGTAGATTTCGTTTTACTGTTTCTAATGTGATAAAAATATAAGCTTAAGAATAAAATTATTATTAATATTAGCAAAACTTATGTAATACGAATACCCACTTTTCAGGAAATTTGCTTGCTTATGAATTCTTTTGTTTTATTTGTTAATATTTTATTTTATTTAGAAATGGAAAACACCACAGTGGAACCTGGTTAAGAAAGACTTTAAGGGACTGTGATTTTTTTGCTCATTAAGTATGGCAAGTTCGTTAAAATAGTATAATATACTTTCTTCGAGCTAGAAAATTTATAGAGGACAGGGGGGTTTTTTCCCCTTATAAAAGCTTATGGGGAGGTCAAAGTCCAATACCTGACTTTTCCCCAGTTCTCTCTTAACCATGTTTCACTGTACCTTAGAATTTAATCAAAAAATGTAATTTGTATATTTTTATTTATTCTTAATTTTACCGTAAATTAGATTAAGTAAAATATAATATTTCACTCTGAGCTACTTAAAGCTTACTTGACTAAGTATATTATATCCCAGCGGTGCCAACGCTAATAAAGAAATAAAAGATTTATAGCTTTATTTTATCAATAAATGACACTACTGAGGGTTCGAACTGGTGTCTTAAAATCTGCTAATAAATGGTACGTAAAAAAATATTCCTGATATTGCCTTTAATGTTGCTTATATTTTCAGTGTCCATATGGATTTTAATAGTAAAAACAGCCCTGAAGATGCACACAAATTTATGTCTCTTGGAGCAACATATACGAACCGGAATCGATTTCGTGTCAATTTGAATTTCAGTCTCGGAATCAAAAAGTATTTTCTGCAATTCTAATGGAAGAAATTTGAACGAAAAGGAGATCCGATTTGAAGTGCCGAAGTTCAATTGTTTTGCTTCTGCGTTCAATGCAAGGCGAATTGAATGAGGCGAAGTTAGTATTTATATTATTATTCAAGTTTTTTCATTCATTGAAAGAGGAGATTGTCGAAATTATATTTCAATTTATGTTTCGTTTGCTTGAATTTCATTTGAGTTTCTATTTATCAGCGTGAAACTCTTCAGAATTGTGAGAAGACTGGTTCAGACATTTTCTTCCTTTTAAAAAAACGGTTAATTTTACTTGATTTTGATAGCTAAAGCAAAAACAAATTACATGCCAACTGTTTCTATTGGTTCTCAAGTTCTCGCTTCTATGAAATCGTCTTGGTTCAATGTTAGCAAACCAGCGGACTGTTTGTTTGGCAAACAATTTTTTTTTATGTTTTTTCTGCAATTGTTATTATTATTTATAATTTTATTTAATCCGTAAAATGTGTTTTCCAAGGTATCACGTCAAGTATATGAATACTTTGTTGAGCAGTTATATCCTCGATGTAAAACTTTCAAAATAAGGTATGGAGCCCATTATTCGCGATTAGTATATAACGTCATCTTAACAAAAATGGAGGTGTATCATTTTTAAATATGATATTAAGTTTAACAGCACGCCTTTTTTTGTTTTTCAATATCAATATCACGGCTGACGTTATTTTATTTTTAATTAAAAATCACAAATGTGCTAAAGCCAGTACAAAAATAATTTTCTGGGTTTTTTGCACAAGTTTGTTTTTCAGCTGATTCAAAAAACGGTTTCGCTAATCCTCAAAAAAAGAAAATCCACGTCGGTTTCAAAACACCATTTCCAACTGATATTGATTTTCAATTTCGATTTTTCGAACACCCCTGACTAATTAACATTTTAATAATAAAAAAGTAAAAAATCCAAAACTCGACATTTGTAGCTATCTCCGCCCGTGTTTTCGCCAAAACACTTAAACGGCACTTCTAAGTTTAATTGAATAAACGAGCTGTATTTAAAACCAATGCAAATCATGACAATTTAAATCTGACTTTCAAACTAAAAACCCTACCAAAATAAAGGAGGTGCAATATACATATACTTTTGCCGATCTATGTTTTATATAATTTATTTGGAATTTTTGTTATGCCACTCAATTTCTATTTAAAAAAACATATTTATACCTAATCAACAAAGTCCAGCGATGGTTTAGTCAATGAAAGGATGAAAATTTAAGATGATTTATGTAAACGAAATAGGTGTATTCAGTGTTTGTACTTTTATTACACTTATTTGATTGCAGCTCATTTTATTTTATAACTGTATCTATACAAGCTTAGAAATAATATTTCAAATGTTTTAAAATCTTATATGAATATAAAACTCCTTTATATATGATATACATATTTTACTTCCTAAATTTCGATTTGAATTAAAGCTTTTATTTTTAAGCCACATTATTTAATTGACATTATAAAATCAGTGAATGCATATACTATGTACGCAAATGTATACTTATATTCTAAGCGTGTTTAAATTTAAATTTGATATGTTTTAACATAGATTTCCAAAAAGATTTATATTGCATTTTAAATTTTACGACTTTACATTTTACTCTAATCTTACCCTGATGGGTTATTTACATCCCTTCATATAACAAACTTATTTATAATACAATGGTCAACTTTTATTATAAATATATTAAATAGTTATTGCCATTACTTTTAAATACATTATACAGCCTTCTTCAAATCTCTCTAAAGATTTATTCCTTCCTTTCATTACGTTTTCATTATTTAAAATCTGCTGCATACATGTATGAATGTATGTACGTACATAGAATAATATATTTTTATAATCTATAAAATTTAAGCATATAAAACAATGGAAGCATTAGTTGCCGGTGGGTTTGAGTTTGTGTCGTGATTTAACCATTTCTGAACACAGTTCTCTGGACAAGTTAAATTGTCACAAACTGTGTGCACCTGTAGATCAATACTACAAGCTCGGTCTTCATTAATTCTATAAAAGTCTTCTTTATATGATGACTCGCTATATGTTGACGATGAACTTTCATATCCCGAAACGGGAGAGCCTTCGGCACATGGGATCACTGGGGATAAAGCTGATATTGTCGTCATATTAAAGGCACTTGGAAGATTTATTGGCTTGCATCCCTGAAAGTACGTGCTCCCTATTTGAAAATTATGATCGGCTCCATTGGAGAGGTGAAAGTTATTTGTTTGTCTCTCATTTTCCACACTAAATCGTGGTGATATGCATTTCTCTTTGTCTTCAGAATGGTTTTTTTCCGAAGTACTCTTCATTTCTATTTCGTCGTCTTTTTCAATTTTTTCATCTTTTTCATCTAAAAGGTATGGCTTAAATAATTTTACTGGCTTCGGCGGGGGTGATATTACTTCCATTTCCACTTCAATATGGTCATCATCACTATCATTTGCTTCTTTACCTCTTGCAATTGAATTGTTTGAATCATTTTCTGAATTTCGCATTACTTTACTTGTTTGGTCATTTCTCAAAATAACCTTGCGTTTCCTAAAAGTCAAATCGACGACACTCTCGTTTTTATTTTCGGCCACATCATCAGTTCTTGGTAAATGTCTCAAACTACAATTTATATTCTCAGCATTCTCTCGACGAGAACCAATAGATAGATCAATTGGTGTAACAGTTAGGCACGGTGTATTTGATGGTTCTTGTGTTACGTTATAATTTTGTAAGGCATAATCCTTTTGATTTCCATTTTCAATGCAAGTGTTATGGATGTACTTATTCAAAGCTATACGACCACAACAATCTTCATTATCCACTACTATTTTCGTTTCATGCTCATGCAATTCATTTGAATTAATTCCCTCACTTCGTTTATATATAACTTCCTCTAGGGCTATATTGGCTTGTGGTGGGCATGTAGAAGCCAAGTCGGTTGCAGACAAAACAGTCACAGGTAGACAATTTGACGGCATTAATGACGGTACTGTTGACACCCGAGATTGTGGTTGTAACAGTGTATGGGTATGCGGCGGTAAAGTGTATGGGTAATGTCGATGGTGTTGCGGGGAAATATGTGTTAGAACAGGCATTGGTATAGACATTGGATTTGCAGATGTATGTGTATATGGCGTGTCGTAATGATGATGATGATGGTGGTGGTGGGGCTGTAGGTGGTGAGTGTGAAGTATTGGTGACGATATTCCCGCGGCGTTGCCACTTACTACAGTCTGACAGAGTGGTGACGATGTATTTGTAGTTGAAGTGCTGGCAATCGCAATAGCACCCGCTGCAGCTGCGGCAGCCACAACGGCGGCCAAGTTCGCCGCAGCATACACCCCTTGTGTTGATGCATTCGTTGATGGAACCACAACTGGTATTGATGGCACTGTTGTAGAATTTGTAGCGACACTGTGTCTGGCTGTGTCCAAGGGCAGTTGCTGAGATTTACTTTCAAAGTGATGGTAGCCGAACTGACTATTGTTATTCGTTGGGATCATAATCGGCACTTGCTGTTGTTGCTGACTCACATTATGAAACTGATGTTTTGATCCACTGTGATTAATACTGGCAACTGATGATCTTAAATTCGACTCACACTGCAACCACTTTTGAATTTGTCTTCTATGTATATTATACTTTCTAGCTGTTGCCCGTTGATTGCCCTTGCAATCACTATCTTTCCGATATGATTCTAATACTTGAAGCTTAAAATGTGGGGTAAATATTCGACGAGAACCCATTTTTGAATTGTTTGTAAGATTGTTCGCAGCGCCATTACTCGCCATATTGATTGTTGTGTGTGTCTTTTGTAAAATACTTATATTTGCTGTTGGCACTTGTGTATTATTTGACTTAGATATCATTATATAAAAATCATTAGCTTTTAAAAAGTCTTTTTCATCCCGAAACATAAAGTTTTAGATGTTCACATTAAAACCACACCGCTTGATAAGCTTTTATTGTTCTATAAAAAATACTATATTTCCGTATGCAATGATGCGGCTTCCGATGATACACGTTCGATTGCGCCGTTTCTTCTTTCCACACTAAACGATTAGCAGCAAAATTACTCTAGCATTTGCCAGACATTCTGGCTCGTTTCGACTTCTCTGTATTGGTGACTACATGGCGCTTATGTGTATAATACAACGGACGGAACAAGTGAACGACGCAGACATTTGTGGTTCTAACCAACACAATGGCGATTCAACTGTTGCTTTAGTTGAATTCATATGCACCTACAAAGGCACATACATACATGCATTATATATGCATGCAGGAATATGTAGCCTTAGGTGAGCATTGTTGGGTACAGGCAGAACGTGTTTTCCCATTTTTAAAAAGTGCTAGTGTATTTTATATATGTGAGTCATGTTATGTGGATGTGTGAGTGAACGTATGCACGGTTGTATTTTAAAGGCAGCTAAAGAATAAATATTTCAGAGAACTTATTGAACAGTAAGCAATAAATATACATATGAACATATGTATGTGTATTAATAAATGTCGGTACGTTAATACACACCTCAATATACATTCGTCAGTATATTAGGTACAAAATATTTATAAATGTATGTATATATATATATATATATAAATAAATATCTATATATTTATATATACATATATATGAATATATGTATGCATAATACGCCGGCGCTTATACGTAAATAAATAAAAGAAAACTTTCATGCTTCTATACATACATATGCACATATGTACATATGTACCTTAAATACATACATATATATATCTATATATGTATGTATGCATGTGCATAAATATAAGTATATAAATATTATTTTTATATGATACATACGTACATGCATATGTATATATTTCACTAAATACTATGCATGTATATATGTACGTATATGTAAGTTTATTTCTAAAGTTTATAATCTTAAATTTTTCACTTATTTTTGATCTAATTTGGCATCGATTCCTTACTTCTATAGTATCTACATATGTATGTACATAAACACACATACATATGAATGTACATGAATATGTGTCTAATTGTAGCATTTAAATAAATTTTGAAAGTTTCACAAAAGCTTAAATAAAAAATTCCATAATATTTTAATCGAATCGTTCATTCCTCCGATCACAAACGAAAATTATGCCAGCAATGCGAAAAGTTATAGGCTGCACTATCAGCACGTTTTTCATTTCAGTATCTTCGTACGTACTTTATACATATTTATAAGTATGTACATGTACGTGTGTGTCTTCATAACTTTATATATTATATATGTATATGTGTATATATGTTTTATATAAGATATAAAGAGGCCCCAACTGATATATTTTCGATAATAAATACAATAAAATTTAAGAGTTTCTAGAACCATACTCTAAGAGCCATTGTTGAGGCACAAATAAAGTCAGGAAAGGCTTAACAACTCAAAATACATATAATATGTATGTATATATATGTATGTACACTTCGCGAAAATGAATAGTCTTAACCGTTATTATAGAATTTTTTAGTATATCTCTTATGCTGATTTATTTTTAGCAAAACGCATGTTTGTATATATATATACATAGATACAAGTCATCATCATTTAATTGTGTTCCTTATATTTATGTTTACCTAAATTGTATTCATATATAAAATTGCCACCAATTTCCGGCCGAGCTTCTCAAATTTCTTAAGCCTCGAATGGCTGATGTCATGTGATATGGATATGGACAGAATTTAAACCCTCCGCGTAGTACCATGATTAATATTGTAGTGCTTAAAACTCCTGCCAATAATCTTCTTTCGAGGTTGGCAATATTTTTTTTTCTAAGTTTGTATTATTTTCGAAAACTTTACGATACTGTGCTCGAAGGCCTATTTTCAGATGTCATGCTTACGAACGGTTTGTTTGTATAATAATAAGATCACTTTGAAGGTTTTGTTTTGTAAAATATTACGTTCGCTTATCATAAAAACTTCTAAACTTATTCTGAAACATCGTAATACCACATTAAACTAACATAAATAATAAGCGTGTAGAGGTACAAAAGTAGTCGCTTTATTAATTTATGGTTTTGAAAGGCTCTCGTTTTCTAAAATCACTGAAGATCACTCCATTTCTTTGTATATAGTATTTATGTATGTACATATATATATCATGTGTAAACTCTGCATATCTACACGTTTTACAACTATCTGCCCAATCTATTACGAATGTTCTCGATAAAAATCACTGAAACAAAATCTAATAAGCAAATAACGTTTTCACATGCACGCATATGCACGAGGTGCGATCAGAAAATAACCGTTATTTTGAGTTTTTGCAAAAAGCTTTTATTAATTCGTCAATAACTATCTTGCACCCTTCCCGTCTGGTACGCTTATGCCAGGTTTTTTCCGATCCTCGAAATACTTCTGAAAAGCTTTTTTTGATATCGCCAATATCTCTTGTTATCATGGTGCAAAATCTATGATTATGTTTTCCAAAATTCTATGCATTTCTGACTAATTCCTTCGCGCAAACGGCGCGTAACTTCTAGGTAGTATTCCTTATTGATCGTACGACCTTGTAGCAAGAATTCATAATGCACCACGTCATTCCAGTCGAAGAAAAAAGTTAGCAAAACCTTCACATTTCACCGAACTTGACGTGCGACTAGGACGAGCATTATCATTGTTTATGTTTTCGGCCTTCCTTAAGCCGGTTATACCACAATTGAACTCGTGTTCTGCTCATAGTAGACTCGTCAAACGCCACAGTCAACATTTCAAATGTCCTTACATTTCATTTAATTTTTTACACTAAACTGAATACAGTTTCTTTGATCCGTTTTTCGAATATTAAAAAATCGAAGAGCACACATACATAACTCACGAAATTTGAATATAACGGATATTTTGTGATCGCACCTCGTGTGTATATACATATGTACCATTTAATGATTCCGGTGCTGAGTGTTCTGAAGGCAGAGTTGGAAATCTTGTATAAATATTTTTAGAACCTTCAATAAATTGCAACTTTTCAAATAATATGTTCGTACTATTTTTATAAAAAGAATAAAATTATTAGTTGAAACTTTTACGATTATTTGTGGGACACTGTTAATAAATTATGTATTTTTAAAATTTCAAACTGTTTGTTCGTATGTACGAATAATTAAGCCACATACTCGTATCACCCGAAGGTACCCCTGAATTGATTTTCGCCCGGCCTCCACCTCCAGTTTGAGAAGTGCGCCTATAGTTTATTATAAGCCGGCTCTGAACGACCGGCGGATTTTTATAAGAAGATGTTGGAACATTGAAACTATGATGATAAATCAAAACCAATGAAATACATAAATTAATATTATTGAGGAAAACTTTCAAAAATCAGAGTGGATATATTGTACATACATTTGTATATATGTACATATCAAATGATCAGGCACAAAGTAGACGTTTCTGGGACCTTGACATGCTCCTAATTATTCTACTTTGTTATTCCTCCACTCAGATTCCATAAAGTAGTTTAATGGATCCCTAACAGCGACAGAAAAAAGGAAAATAATTATTCGGAACCCAAATCAGGATTTTTTCAAACATTTGTAAGCTGTAATTCGAGTATTTTGATCAAATACGAAATATGTACATATGTAAGTACTGAAAGACATTGAGAAGGTGTTAAAATGGCAGGATAAATTTGGATTTCCTTATACATACGTAAAAAATAAGACTTCAATGTGCAAAGAGAATTTATCAAGTTTCGATTCCAGAACAAATAATAATAACGTCGTTTGCCCAGGAAAATCGGGACGCCTACGAGCGATAGCTAAATCGTCTAGTTGAAAATGCTCATAAAATATCGAGTTCTGAAGTGTATAATTCATACATTCTAAGCCAAACATAATCTAAGTGTGAAATTTGTCTCATTTTTGAAAATTATGCAGCTAATTTTCGCGCTATAACTATGTATGCATATACATTTTTTATGTTGTGCATACAACTATGCATATATACATATGTGTCATATCAATATGAAAACTTCCATCGTTGTCTTAGCTTTTATTCATATCTGAGATTGCGGATTTACCATCTACACTAATGTACTACATACTTACCCATACATACATACATATACATATATGTATGTATGCACATTATTCATGCATAAATATACACATGAACTAAAAAATTATTGATGACTGTATACACAATCATATGTACATATAAATATATTTTTAAACAATTATACATATACATATGTATATGAATATGATCATGTTTGTATATATGTAAGTATGTATTTAAGTTTATGTGGGCATGTCTTGCGCTCGGACAGATAGCCAAGTACACAACCATATGTACATATTTACATACATGCATACATATGTATGTATGTATGTTCATATACGTGTATGTACATATGAATACGAGTGTACATGTGCGTTTATAAATACTTGTATTCATAAATTGTGTAGGTACTTATTTCAGACCAACGACACAAAAACGCCTACATGCTAACGTGCAAGTAACGCACACACAAACATCTCAACGCATTTATAATACTTTAGTATGTACCTATGCATGTATGTACGTTTACAGATAAAAGAACATTCGTATATACATACATACATATAAATATATGCACAGCCATGCATCTGTACGTGCAAGTAGTGTATTACGAATGTTCTTGCCGTTTCAAACAGGTTTTCCATCCAAATCAAACTAAGAATACACTGTTGTCACATTTCACCCACGGTGTTGAGGTAACGGCCGCTATGACTCGTTCCCTATGTTGTTAAATTGTATTAAAAAGGCAAACAAATCAATCCCTCGATGAAAACACATACACGCTGGTAGTTTCTTTTTATCACATCGTTTCTTGCTACAGACACAGCATATACAGATAAACTTGTTTTCGAGTTTGGCGGCGGTGGCGACGGCGTAAGCATTCACACAATCGCAAAGCCGAATAGACACACAGATACACAGATACACGTTGGCGGGTACGTGTGGATTCAAATAATCATGACTGTGTATGTAGACAAGTGCCAATGAGTATTGCTGTGTAAAGAAACTCGTATTCTCAATGTGGCTCCACGAAAATGTGGCAACAACGCATGATCGGAGCAGACAGAATGTCGCCAGCTCTGGCGGTTATGCCAGACACTTAGTCGTCGGGTCTTGTTTTCCCCTCTTTGGTG